GGGAAAAAGGATTTAACACGTGATTTATTGTTTCCGAAATCTTGAGTGAATTGGTCTAATGTCCCACCCGCTATATAATTTCTGATGTCAATAAATCTTAATTCATATGGAACGTTTGTTTTCTTTACAATGATTTGCTTAAATTGTGAAGATGAACCCAGCATTGATTTTATTTTCCATTTTGCAGTGTTTAAATCACGAAGAATTAAATTTAAATCAAACTTTCCCGAATTAAAACCTATGATATTCACTTTATTGAATTCCTCATCTAGAAGTTCTTTAAATACTTCCTTCTGTTTTTCATTTAATGTATGAGACAAAGTCCCCACTGTTTGCGGCTTCAATAATTCTTCATATTGTTCAATATTTGATTTAGCAACTAATGAACAGGTTGAAAATAAAAACTCAATCCAATCAGAAATAAAAGAATCACTCGAAGTTAAGCAAAAATTCCTCGTATATGTTTTATCATTTAATTTAACCGTTGATGATACCATGAATGGTTTTAAGTAAGCGTTCAAAGTTGCACACTCAGAAAGTTGTAATTCTTCTTTAGTCTCTAATGTTTCGAAGTCAAAAGTAATATAATATCTTGTCGGTTTATAATATTTCTGCAAATTATGAGCTAATAACCACTGATATATCTTCTGTTTCGTAATATGTGGTGCATATGGTTGCTGTGTCTTTTGCAACTGAACGTCTTGAATTAATCTCCCATTATTTTCTTTACATTTCTCACAATGCTTTAAAAATTTTCTTTGGTTTTTCCTTTCTGGATCATCACGGATAGAATAAACTTCTTCTTTACAATATGGACAAACTTTATAGCCGGTGAGTGCTTCAACGTCTGTTATTCTGTCAGCGTGAAGTTTTCCACATGGACTCTGTGTTAATAAAATATTTACTGTTTCAAATTCTGGATCTATCATTATTGATTCCACTAATGGAAAGTCTACCTTATTTATGTCCACGTCTTCTGGTTGAGGATCACAATAATAGAAATCAATATTAACATTTAACATTCTCGCTAATCTCTCACTTTCTGATGAAATGTCAAACCCTTCATATGCATCTATTGCTTCATTTAAATAGCTTCTACGAGTTTTAGGATTAACACCATCAGGAATGTTATAGAAGCGTTTAAATAACCTTCTACCTTCTGCTCTAATTTGATTATCATTCATTTTAGCTGTTCCGTTTTTGTTCATTTATGTAAGAATAAAAATAAACTTTATTTTTTTAAAGCCCATAAAATGAATTAAGAACACATAAATTTTTATCATCCGCGACGTGACGAATACATTTTAATTTACTCAAGAATGTGTACCCTGATACATTAAATCTAATTCCTGTCTTATTTAATTTCACAACTTTGAAAAGGAATGTATGAATAGCTATAAAATGATGAGAAGATGTTTTATGGGTTGCTTCATTTTTTTCTGAAATAAATGAATAAATATAATGTTTATAAGTTTTCATATCTTTTATGTTCTTAATAACGAATGGTATAGACCTTTCAACTTTGTCTTCCTTCGGTGCTGTTCTTTCATATGAAACATTATTGGTATCTTCAATAATGAAACACAATCACACAAAATTTTATATGTTCCAATGGTTTCTTTTGATATTTTATCTAATAAATCAAAACTTTATCAACACCCGTGCATTTATTTAAATAATAATTGTGTGTAAATATCATGATCTTCTTTCTTAATCGTATTAGTTGCATATGTCACGTTTTTAAGAGCTTTTTTGAATTTTTGGAATCTAAAGGTGGTGAAGTAGGATACAGGGGTATTCTTCATTATCAATAAATTGTAACTTATGTTTACGAATAAATTTAGTACCTTCTTCTGAAAGTGTTCGTCTATTTCACCATCTAATAAATTTTGTGTTGATTCTGAGACATAATTTTTATATCTTTCTTCATGAGATTTCTGAACTTCTGATTCTGAAGCTGGGATATTCATTAAACCCTCTACTTCATTTTCATTATATTTTTCAACTTCTCTTAATTCCTTAATTTTTTCATCTATTTCATCTCTTATTTTTTCCAGTCTTTCAATTTCATCATATTCATCATCTTTAATCCGTTCTTCATAATATTCAGGGAAAACATCAGGTTCTTTAGGTTTTTCTTCTTTAGATGTGGGATATAAGAAATTTATAACATCATCTTTATTCATTTTTCCATCATAATCAAACTCATTTAAAAACTCCGCGAATTTTTGACAATTTCTTAAATAATATTTATCAACCTCATAACCCGCCTCCTCTAATATATCCTTTATTTCCCTGTTTGTGAATCCTAATTTTTTAACATTGTTAGTTTTGACGCTCATTTCTTACGAAATAAAAAATAAATTATTCAAAAATGTAAGACATGAATTTTTAAAGTTTATTTTTTATTCATGAAAATAATTATTTCTAATTTCTTTTACTCTCTCGTATATACTAGATTTAAAAAATTCAGAACTTTTACCATAATCTCCTAAATGTTTTCTTATCCCTAACGTGTGCCAGTTATTATATGAAATGTAATAAACAGAAATTCATCAAAAGTAACAGCTCTCAATTTTTTGACATTTGTAAATTCTAAATTGAATGAGAAAAATGAAATAATACTAAGCATAATACAATATTCTAGATTTAATTATAATTAGGAAAAAGTTAGTTTTGAGAGTACTTTTCATAGGCATATAGAATGAAATCTTCTGAAAAATAATATCACATAAACTCATATTATTTTCTAATATATAACTATTTTATATAAAAATCAAATTCAATGATCTTAAAAGCGAAGGATAAACCTCAAAATTTACGAATATAATGAGTGGGAATATAATGCTTATCTATCATAAAACCATATGAAATATCAATTTTTGCTTTACGCCTAATTTTTGACGACAATTAGCAAAAAATGTTAAATGTTAACACTCAGTCCATTTGAATATGAAAAATAAAATTGACTTTGATTAAATGTTTTTATTTATCATGCAATTCTTCTTGCGACCAAAGATTTGAATAAAATTTCAAAAAAAAGATAGCTTAAAAAATAATATACGGTAGTGTTTACTAATAGATGAATAGTATATAAATTCTATTAAAATGGATTTGATCCAAAAAAATATAAAACCAAAAATAATTGTTATAATTTAAATGAAGAAGTAATTTAAAACGATTTTATTTATGATCAAATTTATATATTTTTTTGGATCAAATCCATTTTAATAGAATTTATACTATTCATCTATTAGTAAACACTACCGTATATTATTTTTTAAGCTATCTTATTTTTTGAAATTTTATTCAAATCTTTGGTCGCAAGAAGAATTGCATGATAAATAAAATTTAATCAAAGTCAATTTTATTTTTCATATTCAAATGGACTGAGTGTTAACATTTAACATTTTTTGCTAATTGTCGTCAAAAATTAGGCGTAAAGCAAAAATTAATATTTCATATGGTTTTATGATAGATAAGCATTATATTTTCACTCATTATATTCGTAAATTTTGAGGTTTATCCTTCGCTTTTAAGATCATTGAATTTGATTTTTATATAAAATAGTTATATATTAGAAAATAATATGAGTTTATGTGATATTATTTTTCAGAAGATTTTGTGTTCTTCTTCAAAATTTTATTTTTTTATTAAAAAGAATCTTTACAAAATATACATTTACTTTAATTAATATTTAAAAACGTGCTCTATCAAAAGTTCCAAAAATTCAATATTTTAGCTTTTCTGAGGTGTCACTTTTGATGAATTTCTGTTTACAACAGAAACTGAATAAACTTTATCTTTATCTTTACACCTTTCATCACTTCCAATATATTTATATCTCAGTTTTGATTTAGCATTTTCATATTCATTAACGTTTAATAATTCACAGTCTTCCTTTTTAAATAAATGTTTTATGTATTCAGGATTTAATACTCTACGTTTATATGCTCCTAACTTAGTTCTAAAGGTTTTTCTACAAAATTTAGGAATTCCATCCTCTTTAATGTCATCAATGATTTCCATTTCATTATTTTCAATTTCTTCTTCTCGTTTATGAGGTCTTTGATTATGACTCTATTGATTCCATGAAATTAAATATTCTTTATCATTATATTTACCTCATTAGCTTATTTTGGCTTTCATATTCATTTAATAATTCACAATCTTCATTTTTAAATTGAAGTTTAACCCATTCAGGATTTAAACAATGTTTAATTAATCGCGGAATATCTGACATCATCTATATATAGCTTCTTTTATAAAAGATAAAAAAATAAATTATTTTAAAATTAATGTTAATTTTTTTAAAATGTGTTTAGTATATAATATTTATTACTAATTTATTTATTAATGTCGCGCTTTCTTTCGAATTCATGACTTAAAAAACGTAAGAAAAATTTTTATATCATCTATATATAGAAGATGTGAAAATATACCTTCATCTATATATAGACGTAACATTAAAAGTCACACAACCCTTCCACATATACTACTTTGAAATTCAGAAAAAAGTGGTTAAGGATCTACTGCTCATTAAACAACATTTTAACTTATTATCATTACATGTTTTGCAACAAAATTTGTTTATTGCGTCATTTTGTGAATTGAGCATTAGTTTCGGAGTGAAATTGTGGATAAACAGTAGACAAGGCATAGACAAAAAGTTATTTTATGGGCATGTGTTTTAGAATTCAGACTATAATCAAGTCATAAAGAGATTTCTTATTTGAAAAGTCACTAGCTCACAATCAAATATCAGATAATAATGTCTATTATGTGCCCGCGCATTTTATAAGTTTAAGCTTTATATATTTAATTTCTTCTATTGCAAATTTAAACTTGCATTGAATAACAAGAATGGTACATTGCTAATTCTAACGCATATAGGTATTGAGGAAGGTGTACCTTTACATAGATAGTTTATATTCAGACAGTATCTTGAAACTCGTTGTAATGTAAAAAAATTATAATCCGTTGGTAAAAAAAATTTTTATATGATTGAAGGCGGAATTTCAGGACGTAGAGAAGTTCCTGGACGACGATGGATTGATCAGATTCGCTTTGCATTCATGGAAGCATCTGGTGGAAACGAAAAACTTGAAATGACATACGATGAGTGGATGTCATCAAGATTTCGTTATCTCATTGAAGAACGAGAGACAACAGAGGGTGAGATGAACATGTACTACAACCAGATGGATGAAAATGGGGATGGTCGCATTACATGGGATGAGCTTATTCTTTTTTTAACAAAAAGACAAAAATCAATACCAGGAAATACCACAAAACATCTTAAAATCGATTACGAGCAACCTGTAGACCCTTCTCCTATTCTAGATCAGTATATAAATCCTCCAAAACAAACAATTTTCATTCAAGAAAACAACGAGCTTGTGACTTTATCAGATAGCCAGATTGTGTTCTGGGATATACACCAATGCAATATCATTCATAAGCAAGAAGGAGACAGATTTGTCGGAATTTGTTTTTTATTTGGTCTAAATGTTCTTGCTGTTGTTAAAACTACACCAGAAATAGTATTTATAGATACCAAGGAACATAAAATTATTGCAAATAACATTACATCATCAGAAAATTTCCTTCAAAATAAACCAACTTTTGTTTGCAACAACAAAAACGATATTATAGTCATTGGATATGACACAGGCGAAATTGATATTCTCGAAATCGAAAAATCTAAACAATCTACATTTTCTTCAAAATTAATTCAGAAATTCAATCATCATACAGATAAAGTTACGAAAATCATGTACATTGAAGAAGAAAAGTGTTATATGTCTTCTTCACTTGATACAACTCTCGCAATGTTCAATGAAAACGGAATGATTTCGAAAATTACAGTTAATATGGGAATTGTTAACTTTGTTTACGATCCTGTATCAACCAATGTATTCTTCTCAACACCAGATCATTATTTCGGCTATTGGCGCTGCAGAACATCGATTTTCAAAATTAAAGATTTGGAAATCACGGAAATTGTCAATTTATTCATTGTCAGATTATCCAAACGCAAATCCTTACTCATCGCAACCAATACAGAGCATTTCTTTATGACTTGGAAGCTTCCAGAGTTTGTTTCAATCGGAAACTGGATTTACGGCGATCAACATAAAGATTCATTGCCAACATCAGGCATAATCCTTGGAAACAACGTCTATCTTTCAGGAAGTTTCGTTTCCATATGGAGAATTTATTTATTTGTCACTTCCGACAAAATATTCCAAGATCCAATGGCCGGATTTGACTATTCCGGCTACCATGATCCAAAATTTGTCCTTACTTGTAACTCCAAGGCCGAAATGATCTTTTGGAATTACAGAAATGGGACAATCGAGCACAGACAGAACATCACGTACGGATCAGAAGTTTTACATATGTGCGTAGATGAGCATCATACCCGGTTTGGCCTCGCAATGGCAGATGGAAGGTTCATTACAGTAAATTCTCTTACAGGACACCATTATTCGACTTGTTCTCTCGGATTCAGCGGGTTTCCGAGTATCCTCCCCACAATGGCCATAATAAAAGGCGAGCCAAAGCTTTTGGTCGTGGAAAACAATCAATTATTGTTATATGACGACTGTCAGAACGGTAAATACAACTATATCAGGAACTTCATGAAGCAGAAGGTAGCATTCACTCATCTCTGTGTCCTGAAGCACTCCAAAGTTGTTTCTGTCCATGAAGACAACACTATTTTGTTGTGGGAATTTTCAGATGGAATTCCGAAGATGACTTTTTCAGTTCCGGTTAAAATCACGTGTATTTCGGATCTTCCAAACAACGAAACAAACTTCCTTGTTGGCTGCGAGAACGGGTACATCTACGTGATGGATTTGGAAGTTGAGAAACCTGTTTCTTCCTTCAATGTCTTCCACATGACAGTTCCTAACAAAATCACTTGTATTTCGACATTTGAAGGCGAAATTGCTGTTTCAAACGACAGAGGCTACATCAAGACATTCGCTCTGAACAACGGATTCGAAGAGATTTCTGTGTTTCGAGCCCATTCAGAGACAGTCGACAGAGTTGTTTTTGTGTTAGAAAACAAAGTGTTGACTAGTTCTAATGGCCATGTCTCGATGTTTTCTTTGTGTCCTCCTAAATACATTGGAGAACTCGGAGAGAACAACGAGTGGGATTCAGATGGACAGTCATCGTGGAAGAATGTTGATTTCATCGCACAGTTTGATGAGTCTGAATTCGAAGTTGGATATTGCAACTTCATTAAATCAGAAGAATTGTGCGTTAGAGAGCCAATTACACCAAGAAATACTGTGGACCACGCACCGAGATTTGTGGAAGAAGTTCCTCCTTTGAATATAAACTCTGTTCTCACAATGATGAATGAGATAAATGACGAAGAAAACTCTGATTCTTTGTCATCAAGTCCTAAAATTCCAAAGTCTATTTCTGCTTCTGCAAGACCAAGAATTGTCAAGCCTGTTGTTCCAAAACACCCGAATGGACTTCCTCTGTTCCATTCTGACGGAAACCAGACAATAAAGATTGTTAAAACTGCAAGGCAGTACAAGGCTATCCAACTTCCTGATAGAAGGTTTAAGACAGGAAGATCATATATGAATATTAGATTTAATGTTTGAATTTTATTTGTAAATGTTATATTTTATTAATTTATTCATATTTTAATATTTCTCATTATTTAAAATGCTACACTTTTCATGTTAGAGTTTGATCAAACATGATAGATATTTAATAGAAAATGGTTAATAAAGCTGATATCAAAATATCAAGAATAAAAACAAAGAAACCATACTGTATCTCTTCAAATAATTACTGGAAACACAAAGGAAACGGAAGAATAAAAAATATTTCTTTAATTTCAAACAAATGATTTATTATATTATGTAATATATCATAATCAAAACATTTATTATATCTAACAATGAAAAATACTAAGACATTTCAATTGCAGATCAAGTATATTCTGCAATTGAAAACAAGGCATCAGTTTTAAGTATTATTCTTATCTAAATACTGTATCAGTTCTTTCATTGTTTCTGGGTATAGTTTAACTAGTTCTAATTTTTCAGTATCTGTGCCTTTAATCAAATCAGGTTGATATTTTCGAACTATTTGTAATATTGCAGTTATTGTTTTAGGGTTCTTAACATTTTGAAGTTTAGTTGATAGAACTTGAATTGGGCTAGTTATAAGTGGTGGATTTTGCATTAATTTAGACATTTTTGTTTTGTATTTTATCACAGTATCATTCCAATCCTTGAACCCATTCCTTTGTAATAGTTTATCTAATATTTTTTGCATTTCTAATCGTATTTTTTCTTGAAAATCTTCTTGTTCAACAATTTCATTGACTTTACCAACTAAACTATTGAGATTTTCGATCCACTGATTTGTATTTTTGTATTTATTCTGTTCTACTTTAGATAATATAACTTCTAATTCATTTTTCTTTTGATTTTTTGAAGATTTGCTTGGACTAGTAGTATAATCATGAAACAGACCATAAAATAAAGGATCTTTTATCAAACTTTTTGTTACTTGTACCATTAATTCCTTTTCTTTTTGCATCATATTTTTTTTTGAATGAATACTTTTATTGTTATTATCATTGTTTTAATAATTGTGGCAATATTAATTGTCAACCTTGGCAATGGAAATTCTCCATTAGACCTATATGAGTGGCTATTTGGCTCAGGTCAAGGCTATCAAATTGTGAGAACACAAAATCCTCAAAATCGACAGAGATTAGCACCAGTTTTTATCAACAATGATGAGAAACAATTCAATGTAGGCTTCAGTCCCCGCAGTAATGGCTTCGAAGAGCAAAATTTAATTTTACAAAAATCCAAATTAAATAGGATATATCAAAATACATTACCAGTACAAACAAATACTCAGACAGTACCACAATCTCAATCAAAATTCCCAGATATATCAAAAGAAAAAGGCGGATTTTCATATCTCCCACATACAATGCAAGTACCATTAGAACCAGATCCAGAACCAGTCATCATAGTTATTGATGAACCACCACCAGCTGCAGCGCCAAAGCCAGAAAAGATTTATACAGGAAGAGCTTATGATTGGGATATTTCTTCCGATGAAGAACCACCAAAACCTGCTCCACAACCAAAGAAGAGTCCATTTGAGCAAAAACCTAGACCACAGTACAATAAACCGGCCCCAGAACAACAAAATCGACAAGCCAAAACAGAAAATACAGAAAGGAAGCCAAATTCAAACTACCGTGGTGGAAGAACATCAAGCAACTACAGAGGAAGAGGCCGAGGAACTAATAGATTCATTAAAAGCGGAAGAACAGCAAAACCAGAAACTAGAGCCAAACAAGAATAATAGAAACGTTATCCTCTCATGTGTAGATCATATGCGTTATCATCTATATATTATTTGTTATAAAGTCTTTAATATTTTATTATAATATTTTTATTTTTCATTCACATTACATATTTTAGGTGTACTCAGTAAAAAATGTTTTGAAATATTAGTTGTTTTTTCATTTGATTCGTAAATAACAAATAGTTTTTAATGATTAATAGACAATATAATATATAATTAAGCAAGTGCAGCTTGCAACATACGCTGAAGATCAAGGCGATTCTGCTCTAATGTAAGCATCTCGCGAGGACCATCTACTTTCTTCTGTTTGAAGATTGGTAACGTCTCTGTCAAAGGAGCAAGTTCAATGACTGAAAGTCTCTGAGGTGGATGAACAGGAGATGAGCAAACAGGTGATAATTGTAAATCAATGTTGTTGATATTTGAAAGATCTGGTTTTGGAATGTTATCATAGTAACCTTTTGGTTTTCTACCACGTTTCATAACGAGTGGCTCACCCTTCTTCATTCTTTCGAGTCTCTTTTTCAAAGTACTGTTCCAACGGTTCTTGATACAATTATCTGTTCTGCCTTCGAAGAATGTAGCAATCTTAGTCCAGCAGTTGCCCATTTTCTCATGTAATTCGATAAGTAGTTTATCTTCTTCTTCTGTCCATGCTACCTTTGCGACGTTTGGATCGAGATGGTTTTTGAAGCGTTCGCGGCATTGTTTTCCTGTGCGTCCACGGAGTAAGAGAGCAAGCTTTGCCCAATCTTTATCTCCGTTTTCAGCTACGTATTTTAAGATAATTTCGTCTTCTTCTCTAGTCCATGAACCTTTGATCAAACAAGGGTTAAGAACTTTTTCCCAACGGCCTGCAAGTTGTGGTGCGGTCTTGTTGGGGAAGAATTTAGCAATTGAACTCCACGCAACTGTTTCTGATTGTGAAGCAATTTGTGTTAGAAGAGCATCTTCCTCCTTAGACCATGTGGCATTGGTTGTAAGGTGGACTTGCTGTCTGCGTGTACGTGTTGGGGCAAGTGCTGAGAGCTCCATCACTTCTTTTGTTAAATGTGAACTTATCAATTTTACACTGTCAGCCCTCTCAAAGTTTGATTTCAAACGTACACATAACCGGAAAATCGCCTCAATTTTTGTGGGATTAACGTACGATTTTTCCGCCTTAGTATCGTAAAATCTCATTTTTATGAAACTTCGATTTTAATATGGACATTTCTGATAAACTCTCTTTGCTGTGTATATTTATAACTCATTTGTCCGGATTTTGGTTGATAAAAATGGTTTAATTTCAAAATTCGAATTGGAGCTAGATCCATTTATAACTGTTCATAAAGCATTGATTTTCTCTGATATTGTTTCAAAAATACTAAATTTTAGAGAATCAAATCTTATTTTAATTGATTGTATAACTCATACATTAATATTATTAATTCATATTGATTACTTGTAAGTTTAACCTATGAAATTATGAATTTGCAAGATATTCCGGATCAAATGAACTTAAAAATTTATTTTCAAATGATTTTAGTCCTCATACCACTATTATTATCAAGATTAATGATTTGTTCAATTGTATTTTGTATTCATTACTGTTGAAAAAATGCTTTTAGAATCAAATTGTGTAACTTACAATGGATCTTGACAATGTTAAATAGTCAAATATAGAGTGTAATAGCTAGTATTGAAATATTATTAATTATATAAAACTCTAATATATTAATAACACTTTATAAACAATAAATAACAATCTAATATAAAATCTATGAATTTGCTGCTAAAGTCTTTGCATTTTGGTCAAGTTCATTAACGTTAATTCGAGTAATTGGCCAAAGAAAAGATTCTGAGCCTTTGTAGCTCTGATTCAAACATTCCAAGGCCACAGGATAGAGAGCAGCTGCATACTCGTTATGTTGCGATATAATCACAAGCATTGCGACGTAATGCAAGTAATTTTGGTTATAAGAAGTGATTTTTTCAATTCCCAAGTACTGTAAGTACTGATCAAGTACTTCTTTGCTGATATCCAATGATCTGAAGTCAATTAATGTCGCAAGAAGCAAAAATTTCACTTGATTGAACAAATTTTGAGAAGAAATCAGTTGCAAAACAGGGGAAGCATCTACAGTTTCATCAGATTGAATAATAAGCGATAAAATGATCGCCAAATTCGCATCTTGGAAATTAGATTTTCCAAATTTGGAAAGAATTGTTTGGAACCACAATTCTCCAACTCCCAATACTTGGAATGCATTAGGACATATAATTAGCAAACAACAGATCGTTTCTACGATGTAGGACAAAGATTCCATTGTTACATTAGAATCCAAGCTCTGGCAGAGCATTTTCATCAATTGGGATGAAATCTCATTGTTGTTCAATGTGAAAATCACTCCAATTAACGAACAAATTGGTTCTACAGAGGAAACATAAGGATCATTAAGATATTTCTCAATAAACGCTGAGAGATCGTTAGTAATAACTGACACTCCACCTATTTCTACCAATTTGCCAACGATCATCATTAAATTTGTTGTATCTTGTGCATCTAAAATTGATTCTTCGATTATTGGAAGATAGAAATCAATTATCTTGCACAGTTGCTCTTCTCCGAAGTCATCATTGGTTTTTACGTACCTTGCAAAGAATTTCAAAGCGTTTTTCGAACAATATTTTTCTGAAAACTCTAAAATTGGTTCTACAAGGTCAACTGGGATGTCTTCGCCATTTATAAGTAATTTGTATAATACTCCAATGGATTCATCAATAACTACGTCACTCTGAGAGTTTGTTAGACAATTAATTGTAAATTCCAAGAAACTATTGTAAATTGGATATTCATAGATATGCTCTATTGACTTCTTTATCAAAAAGAGAAGCGTTGCGAGCTCAACTGGGTTGTTTTGGCACGTTTCGAATGATCTTTGAACAAAATCGGCCAAAACACTCTGTAATGTGTGTAGTAATGCATTATTAGTCTGGCATGCAACTAAATACATTGTTGGCTCCGATGGTTCTTCCGTAAGAAGGAATTGAAGAAAATTTTTATTGGAAGAGCCGAGAGAATTGGCCAAAAAGCAGATAGCATCACGGCACGTTTTGTCTGTGTTGTTTTTCCTCTTATATGAAAGGTAAGAACTCAAATAATGGTGAGGATTATTTTCAAAATCAAAAATCTCGGCTTCTCCAAGGGTACAAAGCGAAATGAGCATATGGACGGTTTCAACATTGATCGGAACAACTGAATTTCTCCAGTCCAAGCAGTTTGCAAGCGGAATAAAAATATCTCCTGGAAAAGCCTGAGTTTTGGCTAATTTTACCATATAAGCGTAGCATAACTCATACAGGGTATTAAGAATTTCTTCTGTATTTTCTTGTTTCGGACCAATGATAAGATTACTGATTAAACTGGGAACAAAAGAGACAATCTGATAATACATCTCAAAGAACATCTCGTTGTCAGGTACTTGGTCTGGAAAATTATTAAAATTTACGATACAAATTTGAGAGGCAAAGTTTACATGTTCAGAATTTTTTGAATTGTAAAGAGTCTTAAATACTTCAAGTGCGCGGCTGTAGATTGTGCATCCTTCCGGGGATTGCGAGAGTGTCATATCCTGGAGGATTGGAGTAATAGGTGCTAAAACAAACTCGACTAACTCAGATCTGTCAGTATTTCGGCAATTACTGTCACAATACCTTGGTCCAAGCAATTTGTAAACAGTAAGAAGGTTAGATAAGTAGTCTAGAGGTGTTTGCGTGTTAATAAATTGTAAAATTTCTAAGAAAAAAGGGGAAATGTCCAAATAAAAGATTTGTAAGACTGATTTGTATCTTTCTATTATGTGTTCAATTGCTGGATGACAATTAATTATCAAATTTTGTAAAAATTCGATGATTTGTCGCTGAATTTCTTCTGAAACAGAAGTAAACGATTCTTTTATCCATAGTCTCAATGCACCTGTTGCTAAAATATATATTTCTGGGTTTATATCTGTTCTTTGAAGTATATCAAAGATTTGAAGATAAAAATTTTTGTCTTTTGTACAATTTTCGATAAATTCTGAAGCCTGTGCACGAATAGATTCATCTGGTGAGCTCGTAGCAACTAAATTTTGTATGACTTCATCCATAAAAAGTTTTTGACCAAAAAAAATTATTACTCTTTGGCCAAACGGTCTGTATCGTTATTAAATTTTGAAATTTTTAGAATCAGGAAAGACAGATGCGATGAACAAACCTGCAATAGAATGCGAGAAAAGTACTGATTGTCAGCATAATGATGCTCAATATCTACAAAATTTAAAGTCAGCAGCAGAAAAAGGATCAATCGACGCTTTATGTAGTTTAGGAAAAATCTATTTCGAAGGCGGCAATAAATTTGCGCAAAAGAACACATCCACTGCTGTATCTTACTATGATCGTGCCGGAAATTTGGGAGAACAGAAAAGAGATGACAAGGAATTAGCTGAAAAGGCCGGCTTTGCACTTCTCCGTGCTGCCGAGATCATGAATTCCAATACGAAACTCGACGATATTGCAGACAGCGCTCTCTCTTATTATGGGCGTGCGTCAGCTCTTGGAAATACCGAAGCGTCACTAAAAATAGGGCGATTCTTATTCAAGCATATCAATAACAAAGCTCTTTCACAAAAAGCTATTGACATACTCAAAAATTCATCAGATCTTGGTTCAGCTCCAGCCCAGAACGAATATGCGCGATACCTCGAGAATGTTTTGAAAGACGAGACCGCAGCGCTGAAGTATTACACGCTCTCTGCCAACCAAGGCTACGAAAGAGCGCAAATTAACGCATCCAGAATTCTCATGAAGAATAAAACAGGTGATACCGATGATGTATTTCCAGGAACAGAGGTTGCACCCAAAAAAGGCAAAGCGAAGAACCCTAGTCTTCCAATTCCCCGTCCTTCATCAACTCCTTCCCTCCACGAAGAGAAAAACCAAAAACAGACGAAAAATTCCAATTCCGACCTCACGAACGAGCAAAAGATCAATTCCCTGATTGACAGAATAATGTCCATCGATGCAGAAGACCACAAGAACCGCGCAACACTCATGAAAACGCTAAACATTCCAAAAGGAACAGTTTTGACCTCAGAAACAACTAAGAAACTAACAAATCTACTTATCTCTGTTTTATCTACTGCTCCTCCTTTTTCCGTCATCATCCGCTCTTACAAACAGATCTATTTCAACCCACGCGAGTCCTACGAAGACATCACCATCGCCTACAGTCTTTTCCCTCTTCTTTCTCTCCAAAACTATCCGAATCAGCTTCTGAAAGCTCTTGCAAGGAGATTAACTTCCGCTTCAAACAACGACAGACAGGGCGCGAAGGACTGTCTGATGAAGATAAACACACAGATACCTTTTATCATACACCTCATCGCTTTGACATTGACTCCTCCTCCTCCCCACGGCACAAAGGATTTGTTGGATTTGGCCTTCCATTTCTTGATTGAATACAAACCTCCTCCACCACTTTTTGATGACTTTTTCGTTACTTCCTCTTTTGATGACGAAAAGAACGTGTTGGGACTGAACTCAATGATCTCCGAGCAGAGATTAAACGACGGACTAACGATATTCAATGAGTTGTGGTGCACATTTCGAATTCTCCATTACGCACCTCATTACCAATCATATTTTCAGCAATTCTTGAAAGCATTGACTGCTTTAGCGAAAACAAATGAGTTTTTCGCACATGACATAAGGAGATTCATTGTCAACCACTGGCCAAGACTCGATCCACAGAAGGCAGTCTTGTTTATGCAAGAAGCAACAGCTCTTTGCGTGGAAGGACCTCCTCCAGAAGAAGTTGTTTGGCAGAACTTGTCTTGGAGATCTTCGTCAATACACTGGCAGATCGCTATGGAAGGAATGAAGTTCATTGAGACAACTATAGGAAGGACTGATGGTTTCGACCATTCGATACTCACATTCCTTCTACAGGACGCAGCAAAGAACCATTGGCACAATGGAGTCAGAACAAGAGCTCAGTCTGTTTTGGCTTTGATTCCGGACACAAAGCCAAAGAGACCAAATTTGCTACCATTCGATCAATGGGGAGAAATAAAGAAGATAGCAAAGAAGAATTACCCAAACGATGTATTCGAATCAAAGATGAAACTCAAACCAAAGTAGAAAATCTTTTTTTGTATTTTTATTTATTTGTCTTATCTATAAATTGTTTGTTTTTATTAACCTCTTTTTAATCTTACGGAATCGACTGCTCATGTTGGAGACATTGTCGCTGAACCTAAATCTATGATTTGCAAGTTATTCATGTTTTCATAGTCGAATAAAACGTTATCTGGCTTTAAGTCGCAATGTGTAACTCCATTCGCATGTAAAAATGAAACTCCCTGCAAAATTTGTTCCATTATATTTCGAATTGTACTCAATAATTGGGAAACTGGCCTATTTTGATAAATTCCCTCAAATAATGACCTTAATAAGAGAGGCTCTACGATAATTACGTGATTGTCCATTTCAAAACTAGAAATTGGCATAATTATATGGTTTTTTCCAGGATGATCTGGGACACTTGATAGAAGTTGATGCAAGCTGACTTCTGATATGCCGGTTGCATGGTATTGTGATAAATTTTTAATGATTTTTCGTTTTTCTTCTAGATCTGCATATAAAACATGTACGAATAAGAAATTTTATTTGAAAATAATTTTTAGAAAAGGGCAAATAAAGAGCAGTATCTTTTCGCGATTAGATCGTGGTAATAATGCATGAGTATGATTGTTGGACTATTGTTAAATTGGGCGAAATTTTGAAACGTTTCGAAAACTATATATAGTATGTTCAAATATATTAGAATTCAATAACATGCAATACTGTTAACTGTAAACAATCGATATTAAGTGATTGATGAAAATCAATATCAATATCTAAAAATTTGGAGCCTTTTTTGACTGGTAGCTCTTGCCCTCAATCCCTAGAATGAAATCGTCCTTGCTGATTTTTTCCAAATTTTTTAGAATTTGAAAAATGCCTAAGCAGTTTTGTAGAAAATGATAATGATTTTTACAATTCTCGATTTTTTTTGGAAAAATGAGGTTAAAAATCTTGAAGATTTAAAATTATTATTGAAACAAAGCAATTATACTGTATTTTAAATCGATGTATGCATTTCATTTTTGTTAACCTATATTTTTTTTAAAAAAATATGTCAATTATATCAGCAAATTAAATAATTATTTTATAATGATACAAAAAAGAAGCTTATTTTCCAAACATTTAATTGATCAATATTTTTCTATCAAATATAATATATGATGATGTATAGATCATCAAATATTGCAAGTAAAATAAAAAATATTTGCTTTAAATAAAGGATTTGCTTAACATATTTAAAAGCCATAGTAAATATCTAGAAAATAATCAATGAGATGATGATTTTATTCAAAGGTAAGTTGAAGATGTATATTGTGATTTGAATGTCAACAATAAATATGAATAAAATCTATATCAAACTAGCATATTTAGATTTGTTATCATATTATTTTGATAAGTTAGTGATTATTGCTTCAGGAAGAGCAACATTAGATCTGTAACTCAAAATAAAAACCGAAGTTAAGCTAAGATATTTGATATTTTGTAACCCGATAGAATTCATGATATTATATCAGAATGGCTAGTCAATCTGCTGTTTCTATATTGAATTAAATTTATTATACCGAAACATTACTTTGGTTATCATTGGCAATACGTAAGAAATCTATTCTTGTAATATTTCGAAAAAATAAAGGTATCAACTTTAATGCAAGAAATGATGAGTTTAATATCGAGTAATTGGATTTTTGCAATGTTAATATCCTTCTGCACAGAGTATATCATTGTTTCATACTAATGATTTTGATCAATTCTTCGTCAATGATGATATAAAGCAGGATCAATAAACTTAGGTGTCACTCCCTTTTTTTTTAAAATTATACCCCAAAATAAGGAATTTTTTTCTTCCTGAAAAATTCAAAAGAATTTCATCCGTTCTTCACAAAATTGAATGGAATGATTTTGCTCAAAAACAATGAAAATTTATTTGTTTCATGATCTACTTATTATATTAAAAGAATTGAATTTTTCAAAGGCTTGGTCGTTTTATAATTTTTCTTTGGAAATTATTGATAAACACAGTGTTTCAGCACATATCCAAAATGGTCAATTTCTTTCAATTAGCGATTCTGATTCAATTTCAAAAAAAGATGTTTTCCTTTTTAACTGTCTCTACTATTGCGAAAAAGCCTGTTATCCTAGTTCCTGGAATTGGTGCATCGAATATATATGTCAAGACAGGTTCAACACCATATAAATGGTACTGCCCAAAGAACGTTGACGGAATTGGTTGGATTAATGACAAATATGTCATTCCTCCTGTATTTAACTGCATACTTCATTGGATGTCGTTGCAATATGATGAATCAACTCAATGTTCAACAAATATGGATGACGTAACTGAAGCAAGTACAGTTGGTTTTGGAACTCTCGAAGGAATCACGCAAGTTGATGTGTTTACAAAGTATAACGTATCATTTATTCCATATTACAAGAAGATTATTCAATACTTCGAAAATAATGGATACGTCGAGGGCATTGATCTTTATGGTGCTCCAAATGATTGGCGTAAGGGAATTGCCTGCCAGTCAGCTTTCGACAACCGTCTGAAAACCTTAGTTGAAGATATTTATAGGAAGACTGGCCAAAAGGTTGTCTTCCTTTGCCACTCCTTTGGAACGTTTATCACACATTACTTCCTTTCCCAGAAAATGTCAGCTGATTGGGTCAATAAATACGTCGACCATTGTGTTTTTATTGCACCTTCCTTTGCTGGCGCTGGAAAGGCCGTTAGAATAGGCTGGACAAAGGCTTACCATAAGTTCATTGAGTGGACAGACGAAGATTTCCAATTGGCCGCTGAAACATTGGGAGCTGTCCATACCCATTTCCCCAATTGGGACTTGTATAAGGGCCAGCACGTATTTTATGGTCCTGACGGCCAAGGCTATGGACCAGAAGATTTACAAAAGATTTTCGTCGAACACGGAAGAATTTCTCCAGAAAACGTTAAGCTTTTCAATCTCCAAACACCATTCCTTTCAAAGCCAATTCCTGCGCCACGCGTGAAAACAGTCATTGTTTATAATGACCAATTAGAGACTCCATTTGCTCCAAAAGTCAAGAGCTGGGAAACCAATGACCTTGATATGGTAACAACAGGTGGAGATGGTACAGTTCTCGCTCCAGGTGTTGAGCAATTTTGCAAACTCCACAAAGATATGACAAAGTGCGTCAATTTGAACGATCCTTCATCAAATGGTGAACACTACAAGATGCTCATTACTGATAAATACGTTGCGCAGTATTTTGAATATTCGCAAGAATAAATAATTCTATTTTACGTTAAAATACAAGAAGCTATTATTATTTTTTATTAAAAAACAAATATATTATATACAAAGTTGTTTTTTCAATTGTGTTGCAATTGAATCAAAATCTGAGTTCTCTCCGTGTATATTAATGATGCGGATGATATGAGTTGTATCGACCAGTGGGAATATGTCTATCTTAATGGCTAATGACGATAAACCAAGTTTAAAAGTTGCGTTTTCGCTTGAATTTTCTTCATCTTTGATGCAACCGCCCAAACTTTCTATTCTCTTGTTTAAGTTCCTCTTCAGAGCATCCAAAGGAGAAATAACAGAAAAAGCGAATGGAGAACAAATACAGTTTTTCGTTTCTGTATTCTGTTCTTTCTCTATAGAGCATGGTGTCATGGAACATTGATCAGTATATTCCATAACCTGCTGAGGTTGTAATATCTGTATATTTGCATTTTCAATTTGGATTTCACGATCAATGATTTCTCCTGCAGCTGATGATGTATAATCCTCAGAAAACCATTCATCTTTACGGACATCTTCGATTGTATAGCGGAGTCGTGGATTTCTGTGAGTTAAACGTCGAATTAATTTTGCAGCCGCATCTGAAATGAAATTTGGAATATATAACTCTGATAATATGATATTTTGGATTACATCTTGTGAAGAATCAGCGTGGAATGGAACTTCTCCGGTAAGCATAACATAAAGGATCAGTCCGGCTGCGTATAAGTCTACTGATTGTCCTCTGTATGGCGTTTCTGTTATTACTTCAGGAGCTAAATAGTTTGGAGTTCCCAACATATCTGTAAATAAATCGGATTGTGTGATATTTCTAGCAGATAGACCGAAATCGATAAGATAAGCTTTATCATTTTTATCGATTAGAATGTTATCTGGCTTAATATCACGATGAATAATTCCATTTCTATGTAAAAAGTCAATTGCATCAATAATTTGATGAAAATATATTCTTGCTGTTGATTCACTGAGGCATCCATTTTGGCCGATTATCTCTGATAAGTCTTTTCCACGAATCAAATCTAATATAAGGAAATACTTCGTTTGTGACTTTAAAACTCTATGTAACTGTATAATATTAGGATGGTTGATTCTAGACATAATACTAATTTCCTTAACCACCGTATTCTCAACTTCGCTATCTTTGATCTTTCCGGTTTTAATAACTTTACAGGCATAACTCTTTCCTGTTGCCACTTCTTTGGCATATTTGACCTTGGAATAAGAGCCAATTCCAAGTGTCTGTCCTAACTCGAAACCTGAAATTACTTTCAATTAATTTTATGAAGCTTTTTGCAGAAATTTAGTAAATTTATAAATTCATTACTCCATCATTAGTAGAACAAGAATTATAAATCATAAAATCTATTTTATCAATTTTGAAAGATTGAGAAAAACCTAACGTTTTGACAGATTCCAGAAGGTATTATACATCCTAGAAAGAATCAAAATTAATTCAAAAAAATTATATAAACTTTATATTTATTTCAGAGGAGATAGAATTTTTTCAAAGCTCTTAAATTTGATTCAATACATATAAAATTTTACACCTTTCAAAACAGTTTCCAATTATTATTCGGATTATGTATTATTATTCCTTTCTAAAAAAATTGATCTCAAAAAACCCGATTAAAAATGCAATTTTCAATTAATCGATTATTATTATAAGTACATTTCATATCAGGGTAATAGATTTTAGGAAATTAGCGATAAAATCACAGTTGAAGAAGGTTCATTTTTCAAATTGAAATATGATAGAAATGTTACAAAGAATTATTTAAAAATATTTATTTCCTAATAATTTCAAAATAATCCGAAAACCGAAATTCCTTTCTCCGATTCAGAACCTTATTTTCCTTGTTATTCTTTGCATATTTGTAATACTAACAATAGATACAGGTGATTGTACATTTCATTTTCTTTGTGTAGCAAAAAATTTTGTAAACTTTTCATCCCAACTGGGCCGCACCGATAGACTACAACTACAGAAGCTATGAAGTTTGTTAATGAATCAGGGTCACCATATATATAGACTTGCAGTCAGCATATAAAAGACTATATGTGAATATAAACTACATATCAAAGACTTCAAATCTGTTATAATTCAGAATATGCTAGAGAAATTTAGAATTTCATGCCTATTAAATGATTTCTTTGTCTAACTATGTTTTCCACATCTATTTATAACTTATATTTACGCTTCTGGACAAAATATCATTAAATTTTCCTTGATGTGGGGAATATCTATACATTACATTCTGCTATATCCTTACACAATATTTAAAACAATTAATACTTATCTCAGCGGCGTGGGATTATTCACAAGGTTAAAACAATGTTTTTCCCAAATTGAGAGATTTCTTTTCAATCACGAATTCACCGATAAAAATATGTTAATGTTCATTGTAACTATGTTCATTATATCCATGAGGCTGTGTAGATACATTTTGTTATAGGGAGTTTCTAAATATATTCACCCAATGCTCCCTATAAATTCTATAAAACAATGCAATTTTTTTACATAATAAATATAGATTTTTTTTACTTATTCAGTTTTCTACAAGCTTCAGCGAAATCTCTTGCGTGATCTCTAATTCTATTTGCTTTCTCTTCAAGTTCATTCAATTTCTCACTTCTCTGCTGTGCGATAACCATCAATTCCTGCATCATCTGACCAGTTTCTGCGAGGTTAGAAGCAGCAGATTGTGTCTTTGACCTCTTGAAACCGAATTTTTCATCAGCTTCCTCAGTTGTTGGAGCTGTGTTTTTATTTATCAGTCCGAAGAAACTCTTCTTCTGCGGAATAGCAAGTGCTGGTGTCTCCTGATCGAACAGTTTTGGCTTCACCATGTCATTCAAATAAACAGAAGTTGCGATTTTATCTGAAGAAATGATACCGCACTGATCGATTGGAGTGATTGTTGCCTCTGAAGGAGCAGAGAGTTTTCCGAGGCTCTTCAGAGTGAAATCAGGCAGAGGAAGCAAATTCAAGTGGGTTGGAGTGCATGTCATCAATCCGCCCCATCTCATGACACTGACATGCGTAACATTGTGATCTATTGTGTCCTTCCTGATCTTCTTCATTCCGTCTGTTGCATCAAACAGCAAAAGTAATTTCTTTGTAACAACTAACAAGTAATTTCCATCTTTTGAGGCTTTTCCGAAATCGTCAATGCATTCAATCAAAACTGCAGGGTCGTCTTTATCGAAGCCTTCGTATTTCTCGCCATTGTAAATGATGGAATTATCTTTGGTGATCAGACATTCCTGGCCTTTGATGAACAGGGCGTGGATGATGTCCTCGCTGCAGGAAGGAGAGAACATGTCGCCTTCTGCGGCAGGATTGAAGTTCACCATGTCAGAACTGTAAAGTTGAGGGAATGAGTCGCAAAATACGTGGCAAGAGTTCTGATGGATGTAAACTCTGAGGGATTCTTTAGCTTCGACAACTCTGATGACCTTGTAATCCTTGACATCGACGATATCAATGGAAAGTGGCGAAATACAAACAAATTTGCCGGAAATGAAGGTTGTTGGATATGGAGCATCGATCTTCTTGGTGCCAATGTATCCATTCCTCGTCATTGAGTGTACGTTGAATGATCCTTCGCCAATATTCTCTGTTACGTAAATAATATTTTCGTATTCGTAAGCTTTGCACTTCGTTCCGTCCAAAATCGGTGGATATAGGATGAGTTCGTCGCATGAATCAGCAACATTGAAGATTCTGCCGTCAGTAGAAATGACATATAAAGTAGAAACTCCTGCTCTGTCGAAATATGACTTTGTGTAGATTGGAGCGATTCCTGGTGCTAATCTAACACCTTCTGGTAGAGAAACTCGTCTGTTTCCGATCATTATTGAATCAAATTCTTTAGATCTGACAATTGTAAATTGTTTTTCGCTTTCAAGGAGAGTTGTGTAGATTGCTTTTTCTCCTTCTTCAAGTTTTTGTGTCGAAGAAACTTTGTTTCCTTTGATAAGAGCAGAAGATCCGTCTTCTAAGATAGATGCTGCGTATCCATCGAATAAATCAAATTCGTTTACTTTCTGTGTTGAATATTTATCGACTTCCATTGAATCTATGTCCAAAACGTCGATTTGATCATGTGCAACGTAATAACTCATGCCAATAGGGCAGCTAAGAGCCTTTACTGGCTTTCCTTCGAATATATTTACGTAAAAGTCCGTGAATTTCATCTTTTCGAGTGAAAATCCCAACAAAGCTCCTGTCGTCATTAAAATCATGGCGAAATTGGGTGTCGAAGGTGAAACAACAAGCTCTACAATGATTTCTTTGAGCGAAATAACTCTCGGAATGATCTTGTTTTCAGCAACAACCCAATGAGTAACGACAGAATCTGTTCTGAAGTGTCTTCTGCATCTGAAAGACTCCTTTTCGCTATCATTAGGAGTTATTAATGCTTGATTTGGATGATTGTTGTAAATGTGTTGTGAATAAACAGATACAAAAGAACTTGTGTTTGGACAAGCGTATAATCTGCATATAGATGTTGGAGCAGCATCTTTTGAAGCAAGCAATCGACGCTCTTGATTCATAACAAAAAGACGTCCTGTGGCATCTCCGAAAGCTAATAATTTGTATCTTGGCTCAAAAGCGATTGAGGTCACTTCAGCTGGTTTCTCGAGGTCATATGGGTTTAGATCTACACCAAGTTGTTCGGTTGTGGGCTCAGGTAACGATTTTCCAAATATTCTTGATAACATTTATATTTTTATTTATCGTCCAAAATTTTTGACAATTTTTTCTGATGATTATTGAATAATGTAAAATAGACATGTCCACATATCACAGGACTGCCATCAGCACCAGCGACCTATGTACTTGTTAAAACAGCTTAAATAATCATGATGCAATGTAAAACGGCAAATTTATCATGAATCATAGCTAAATCTTAATTCTTATATCAAAACAATCGTACACAGTCTATGGTAATTCAAAGTTATTCCGAAAATCTCGAAAATAATGTAATTTTTGATAAAATTGAAAAATTATGTTCATAAACTGGACATTTTCTCTGTTAATTAAGATATGCTTCTCATGTACTATACGGATAATTCATTATTTCCATCGAGATATTTATGAGCTATTTTGAGAACTTTACAATTGGTTTGGTCTGACCTTACGAAACATGGGTGCTGGCACACCATCTTTTGGTCCAAGACATAACAAGACACACACAATCTGCCGTCGCTGCGGAAACCGCTGCTTCCACATCCAGAAGAGCAAATGCGCCAAGTGCGGCTATCCAGATGCCACAATGCGCCATTATGACTGGGAAAAGAAGGCTCACCGCAAGCGTGCTCAGGGCTCCGGCGAAATGCGCCACCTTAAGGTTACATTCGCTAAGCTTCAGCGTGCCTATGCTCCAAAATAAATTGCCCAAGTAAATTTTGATTTATATATTGCTGAGTAATTAAATCAAATTTTTAAAGACAAATACATTCAATCAAAAATCTACATTTTAATCTCTAATTAAAAGAGAATCACTAATTTTTTTTTAAATATTTTTTGATCAAAAAACAATCGATCAAACGTTGGTTTGTGTTACAGTAGTATGCCATTTGAAGGCATATATGCTATGAATAAGCACTTATTTCTATATAACCACTTCGATATTTCTAATTTTTATTTATTTTTCATATTTTAATCTGACAACTTTGATTTATGTGCATATGTGATCTGAGAATAGTAGTTTATTTTCAAAAATGGAATTTGTAGCAAATCTATGCTCGCCTTTTGTAAATAGTGAATGCTGCCATTCCCTTTTCGTTGACTTTGATTTCCAAAATAAAAAGTGTGTATCGCTTTTTATAAGCCGAGGCATTGGTTTTGGACTGATTATGTTTTCGGCAATTCTAAAGTTACCTCAACTCATTCAGATTCTTTATAACAGAAGTGGCAAAGGTTTAAGCGAATCATCCTTATTCATGGAAATTACTGCAAATGTTCTCGCTTTATGTTATCATCGACAAAAAGGTTTTCCTTTTGCTACATACGGCGAAACTTTACTTATTATGACTCAAAACATATTGATTGGATACTTCGTCACACACTTTTCCGAGAGATACAATCCTATGACGTGGAATGGATTTATGATTTTGACATTCTCACTAATTTTCGGTGTAGAACACGGCGTTGTTAGCAATACAGTAATGAACACTCTATGGATGATATGCCTTCCACTATCAATTGCGTACAAAATACCTCAAATTTGGTATACATATAAAGCTAAGTGCAAAGGAGAACTTTCTACACTTTCATGCTTCCTTACACTCATGGGATCATGCGGAAGAGTATTTACAACAATCAGAGAAGTTAAAGATTGGTCTGTTTTGTTAATGTACCTATTGAATGTTCTTTTGAACGGAACAATATGGATACAGTGCCTTATACTTCCAAAGAAAGCAGATTACAAGAAAACATAAGAAATTTTGATGCAAGTTTGAAATCAAATTGAAATTGAAGAGTTTTGATCTCTTCAGAACTAATTTTTGTTATTAAATATAAAAATATCGTTTGTATAGTTTTAATAGTTTCATTTTTCTCACCAAATCAAGTTTTTTAATTTTTAGCTCTTTTTTCACCAAATTTAGATTCGATTGATGATGGAATTTTGCTAAGTATTTATATGAGATAGTTTTAGATATACTCAGCAAGAAGGTCACATCTTCATTGTTGCTAATCAGGAAATGCACCAAAATGACTATTCATCATTAATCTGAAACATTTTAGCACAGTCAAAAGCTGATTTTTTAAAATAGATTCATGAAAAAATTCAATTCAAATGGATGGTATCATATTATTTCGGGTCTAAGAGTTAATGAACTAGACATTGTCTTGGATCTATAATCACATTTGCAAGGTTCATCATATTATCATCATGATGCAAGTTTCAGTATATTCCTCATCTTATTTTGCTTCTTATGATGATACAAGATAAAAATTTCGAACCGTAACACCATAATGCTGTGTCAATATTTAGAAGTAATTCTTATCACATTGGAATTACAAATCCACCCAGTATTTAAGTTATGAACTAAATTAACGATCCGATCTAAAATATTGAAATTTCAGAATTCTGGATGCATCATCTATTTGTTTTCCACATATTTTACAGCTTTTCTATTTTTCATATATCAAGAAATTTTCTGGAATGATATGTAAATATTTGGATTTTCACATCACATCAGATGCCCTTGAATGATAAATCCGATACTTTTGACCAAGATTTTATGAGGTGATTCGACTCCTATGTATCATCAGCGATTATCGATAGAAAAAGATCAGTGAATATCAATGATGTTTTTTTTTCCTTCCAAAATTATGCTGCAGAAGTTTAAAATTGCAAATGGTAACACTGATTTGCTGTGTCATTACTTAGAATGCATTCATATCTCTATGGACTTATTTCTCCTCTTAGTTCCCTGGCTATAAACTAACTTATTGATCCAGTCTTAAATTTTGAAAACCAATATCTGGAAGCGCTCTCTATCTAATTTTCATTGATATTACAACTTATCTATTTTTCAAGGAATTTTACACAAAATTAATTTAGGTAATAAATATAGACTGCCGATGAAAAGCTGTATTGTATGACATGTCAATATTTGGATATTCACACGATATAAGATTACATTGAATGATAAATCCTATGCTATTTAATGAGAGATTTTTTTTCATTTCAAAATGATGTAAATAAGAGAAAATTAGATATGATTGATATATTTACAATAAAACAGAAAAAGTTCTACACTATTTATTGGGAGTAGTTCAAAAAGAGATAAATAATAACCGCAAGGAGTGCGACGATGCCAGCACCCATACCTTCCATGATTCTTTTGATTTTCTTATTTTCAGCTTCGATTTTTCTTTTCTTTCCCTTGTATTTCTTCTCTATTTCCAATTTCTCATCATTTGCCTTTGTTAGATCTTCCTGTGCCGTGGCCAAATTTGCTTTAACTTGGTTGTAATTTCCAACAATTTCAGTTAATTCGCTGATTTCATTCATCAACTTCTTATTCTCATCCTGCAGCATCTTTAGCTTCTGTTGCTGCTCCTTCTGTGGTGCGTAAGTGACAATTCCTATCTGGCTGACCATTCTCTTCGAAATAATTCCGGAATTAAGTGTTTGTGTCCCCAATTCGCTGTAAACAATGATCGGGTGCTCCTTCTCGTAATCCTCAATGACTTTCCTCATATCTACCTGCATCCTCTTCAGCTCCTCGTTCTCTTTCCTCAATTTCGGAAGTTCCTCCGTCGGATCGTAGAGCAGTTTGACCCTCAGCTGGCCTGGTGATGGCACAGAGTTCTTCTCCGCCTCCATGAAATCCTCGTTCGGAGTGGCGCCGCGAGAGAGCAAAAACTCAATCATCGGAAGGCAGCGTTCTGAGTACGCAATCATGATTGGGGTGCTGCTATCTTTGTCGATGGCGTCGATTGGAAGTCCGGAATCCAACAAAAACTTGCACATTTCGATGTTGGAAGTGGCAACAGCGATGTGCAGGGCAGAGCGGCCGTTTTCGAGGGTGGTTGTCATGTCTGCGCCGTGGGCAAGTAAGAATTTCGCCAGGTCTATGTCCTCAGCTTGGACTGAGATCAGAAATGGAGTGAATCCGAGAGAAGTCCGGTCATCTATGTGGAATCCGTAGTCTTCCCGTAATAGGGACTCTATGATGTTGATGTTGCCGCCAACTGTGGCCATGTGGAGAGCGTTGCAGCCGTCTTTTGTGACAGAATCTAATGGAAGGCCTAAAGAGACTAATCTGTCAACAAACTCGTAGCTGCCGATAGCGCAGGCGATGTGCAATAGTGTCTTGTTGGAAACGGTCTTAGCTCTGATGTCGGCGCCGCATTCAATTAAATAATCAAAAACTGTGGGGTTGTATTCCTCAAGGCAGAGGATTGGCGTGACGCCTGTAATTGTAGGAGCGTTAATATCAAATCCTTTTGTAATTAAGTACTTAATTATGTAGATATTTCCACCGGAAATCGCGCAATGGAGAGAAGTAAGTCCGTCCGGCCTTTTGGCATCTTTGTTCTCTGTCTTTTCGTAGATGTAGTTGAAAACGTCAAGATTTCCACTCCTTGCGGCCAACATCAAAGATGTTGTACCATTTTCGGTTGGCGTGGAGTATGAAGCTCCATGTTCAATCAGATACTTAATCATGGCCATGTTTCCGAGTTCAATTGCTCTATGAAGCGCTGAAGTTCCATTTTTAAGAACAAAAACTGTTGTTGGGTCTTCTTGAAGGAAATACTTAGCATACGCAATTGATCCTCTTTCTACAGCATCCCAGAGATCGAGGACTGGAATTTTGACAAGTTTTCGGAGTCGATTTACTTCTTTAATTGCTCTAGAAAGCATTAGACGAGTTTTGCTTGTTTTAAACATCAAAGTTTTCTCATCAAACTCAATTCCTTCGGCATTTAAGATTTGGCGTAATTTTTCGTTTTGAGTCGTTAATTCTGAGTAATTTTGAGAAGATTTTCTAAACTGTGCAGACTTATCATCGTACGGAATACCACTTGAATCTAGAATTTGGCGATATTGCTCGTTTTGCTTCATTGCGGAATTATAATGAGATTCTAAATCTTCAATTTGTTGAAGAAACTCTTGAGCTTCCCCCTCAAGCATCTCTATTCTACGAGTGAGTTCTAAGTTTTCTTGAGATAGCTGCTTAGGATCAAGAGTTCCGATTGTTATCTCAAACCCTTTTTTCTCACTCATCGTTTGTCACGTTTTTTAGTGAATTTCTATTGCAGAATCATCGCAAATATGTTTGCATTGCATATGACATTAATTTATATCAATGAAAACAACGTTAAATGAATGAAATCGGAATTGAGATGAGTTTTGTTAAAAAGCCTGAGAATTAGGAAGTTTGAATAGAAACGAGATGCTAATTCTTGACAGTGTTGACACAGATTTGCACTAAAATTTAAAAATGTATTTTCATATTAATATTTTATATATGAAAATGTACATATCATGTATAATATTGCTGGTGAAGTGGTTCATAGATATTTCAGTTTTCAATACGAATCTTATTTTATCAAATAGTAATATGAAAAATACTTGAATAACTTCCGAAAATAGAGATTTCTTTATAGTGTCTTATGGGAGACAGTTGTTAAATTTAGTGTCTTTGGAGTTTTGTGAATTCCTTGTTGTTCAAGAAACGAAAAATGAATTAATAAATAAAATTATCTATATAAAATCGGGAATATGAGGACATTTAAGCGTATAATTTGTGATATGAATAATATTTTAACAGAATCATACAAAATATTAAATTTGAAATTAATTTTAACAACATTAATAAAATTTGTTAAGAAAATTTGAACGAGATTATAATGTAGTAGTAAAATTAAAATTGAAAAATTAAAAAAGTCAGGTACCCATCAAAATGATAATCTGAAATTCGTGGATTTATTTTATATAAATGTTTGAAACGTATACAAGATGTTTAAACTCCAAAATTACTTTCAAGAACAGATTTTTTTTTAAATTTTCGCGGTGTTTATGAAAGATAATAACAAAAAATTAGGCTCGAAAAAAATATCAAGTTTATAATCAGATAATCTTTTTAAATTGGCCGATAGGTTCGATATCCTTTCAATTGAAAAGTTGTTATTTACAGATTGTCTCAAAAATCTCGCTGAAAGAAATTAGGAATTTTGGCTTGATTAAATTGGTCACATAGTTTGTAACGAGAAATTTAAATGTGACTGAATATAAAACCCACTTCAAAAATATTAAGAGGTTTGTGAACATAATGTCAAAAAAAAATCGATGATGGTAATTGATATTTATCGAATTGTAACTGTATTTTGCAAATTATTTTCAAAAACGATATGAATATTTGAAGCGATACACAAAAGCTCCCTGCATTTTTTAAGTTGGCGAATAATGAATAATTTAAATGAGTACGAGACATAGAATCGCATCAACGTTATCTTCTCAATCAGGCCGCACAATTCAAAATAATTTAAGTATGGTAGATTGCCGAATCTTTCAACACTACTTATAAATATCCATTAAATATTAAAAATATGGTTTTGATAACAAAATATTTAAATTGAAAGTGTTAACTCAAACGTTCATAACGTTCCAAAACATTATTTTCCTATAGTGATATCATATCTAATTAAATGTTCCAAATTTAAATGAGCATTTAAACTTTTGAAAGATTATATTTTTAGAATTCTGCTATGTTTTATAATTGTAATATGAATTTTTCAATCTCAAAATCTCTTATCCGTCTGAATTTTCACTTTTGAAAAGAGATAATTTCTGAGTAAATTGTGAACTTCGTGACAGATTTTTTCTTCTCAAAATTCTAATTATTTTTTACATGACTTCTTCCGGCTCACATAAGAATAAATGGACAGCTTCAGAAGATGCAGCACTTGTAGATGCTGTTAAAAAGCTTGGGACAAAATCTTGGAAAGATGTTTCTTTTCTAGTTCCAGGTAGAACTGGTAAGCAATGTCGCGAAAGATATACCGGACAACTCGCCCCATCAATTTCAAAGGACATATGGACAACTGAAGAAGATGAAGCGCTCATTGCAGCTCAAAAAATTCATGGAAATCGTTGGGCTTTGATATCCAAAATGCTTACAGGCAGATCCTCGATATCTGTCAAAAATCGATGGGGATGGATACTAAGGCATAGGGTGGCCAATAAAGTTCAAGAAGAACCCAGTTACAGTCCTAGCAAAACGAATCAATCTAATACTCCGATTGAAAAAGAAAATTGCTCAGGCCATCAATATTTTGTTCCTTTAGAAGTCCCAAACTCTTCTTTGTTTGGAGCTGATTTTGTTCAATTTCAGAAAGCAATACTTGTATGAACGGGTTATTTGTTTATTATTCTAGTGCGTAGAAATAATACTATTGTTTTTTTTTAAAAAAATCCGAATATTATTTTTTAGTTTCGTTTTTTTTATCATTCAATTATAAAAATTTGACACCCAAGTTTTACGTTTTGTCCGTAAACGAAACTAAATTATAAAAACGATGCCTTATTAAGAGACAAATATATATTTAGCTCTAAAATTTGAGCGATCCAAATCTTTTCTTTCAACCACGAAAACCATATTCAAAGAGATTATTACACATTATGTACTAATAAAATTTTGATTATATGAAAACACGAACAGAATAAACATGTATATTTAAATTATTAAACATTAAAATCTCCCATTAGAGTGTCTTAACTGAACTCTTCTCGGGGGAGTAATCATTGCTTTTCCAGCTGACTTCAATGTTGTTGTTGAACTAGTAATTGGGCTTGGAGCAAGCTTATGTAACGCGGTATATTTCTTTTCATTACTTGGCATGTGCGAAATTTTAGTAGGGATCATCATAGCCTTTGGCTTATGAAATTCTGGTTTTTCCATTAAAGGATGCAAAAGGCAGAAATAAGTCGTGGTTATATCGGTAATATGTCCAAGTTCAAGATCGTGAGTTAATTCTTCACTATTTATGCCGTAATCGACGCATTTTTTAATAATATTTGCGTCTGGTTTTATTTTGCGGCGTTTGAATTTTGAAATGTCTTCTATTGAATCAACTTGATAAAAAACTATGGGCTTTGGCGTGACATTATAAGGAGATTGCTTTAATCCGTGAAGCCAAGGATGATTTTGGAGCTGTAGAAGTGTTGGACGATTTGATGGTTTTATCGTAAACATTTTTCTTAATAAATCGGTAAGTTGAGCTGAAAATGACATTGGAAAAGTAATGTTTGATGCTTCTTCAACGAGCATTCGATAATTTGTATTTTGTGGAGTAAAAGGCAACGTTGCTGTCATCATTGCATAAAGGCAAACACCAAGCGACCAAACATCGCATTTCTGATCGTAATCCGAGCCTGTTATAACCTCTGGCGCCGTATATCCTGGTGTTCCGACAAATGATTTCATAATATTGCAATAATCAGTTCCGGCAAGTCCGAAATCAGTTAACTTTATGTTATTATTGTTATCAATAAGAACATTTTCTAACTTAAGATCTCTATGAGCTAAAAAATGTACAGAATGTAAGTAACGAACAGCTGAAAAAAGCTGAATGAAAAGAGGGCATGCTTCTTGTTCACTTAGTCCATGTTTACTATTTACATATCCAAGTAGCGTTCCCCTAGGTATACATTCCATGAAAAAATATAATTGTTGTTTATAAACAGATAATCTATACAAACTACATATGTTCGGGTGTTCGGTTTGCATAAATACGCTAATTTCTCGCATAATTCCATTGAACTCTGATTCCTGGAGAGCGCCTAAATTAACGATTTTTACTGCTGAATATACTTCTGTTGCGACATGTTTTGCTAAATGAACTCTGCTAAATCCTCCGCTTCCAATTTCCTCAAGGATCTCGAATCCATCAATAATGAGCGGCTCCTTATTTTCAGGATTTTCGCTCATTGTAAAAAAAAACTATCGTAAAAATCAAATATTGATTCTGCTAGAATAATTGTAAACAATAAAGAACATTTAGCCAGATGCATATTTTTATGTTCAAAATCCGTAATTTGAAACGAATTTAGATTACATTTTTATAAAATGAGTCCTTGATTATCAAATCTGAATTTAATTTGGTTTACAGCTTCTTTGGGTGTGGTGAAATGGTATGGTTCAAAGACCTTTAATTAGCTCGACATAAAGTTTGAATATGATTCGAAAAGATTATTCAAACTTGGATAAAATAATATTATGTAATTAATTAAATGAATTCTATGGTTTAAAAATAAAAATTAACCCTGGTAAAGTTAAAAAATCTAAATTGAAGTTTTAAAATTAAAAAAAAATAAAAATAAAAATATCATAAAACTATGATGAAGCTGATATTGAATTTTGAAATATCTTAAAAATTTGGAATTATTGATTTCAACTTATTCAATTTTATTCATTCTCATGTTATTAAAATTCAAAAGTTCTCTCAACTTTGAGTAATTCAAATGCGAAGGGCCATGATTTTAACATAGGAGTTAAATAGCACAATAAATCTAGCGTTTATAAGTTTATTAAATCGGAATTTGGCACGAATCTTTTCTTTATTGAATGAATCTTATTAGAATTCCGACAATAATAAATTCACACGGATAATAAGAATCTAAGTGTGCTCGTATTATGAGTTACAAAGTCATTATTACTTCATTTATTAAATTCAGCAAGACAAAAAAATATGCCATATTTGATTAGATTTTAATGTGTAAATAAGTTATGGTTTCATACAAATCACCTTTGGAAATGCCAAATAACTAGGATAACATTATCTAATTTGAATTTACAATCAGTTTCTAATTCAATTGAGCGACAATTAGATTAACAAAGGATCATTACGCTGGTTGCTTTCAGGCAAACAAATATTTAATCCTGTTTTAAGAATATATATCAATAATCCAATTTCATCACCAAAAGATGAAAAAAAAATCAAGTAATTACATTTTGGAAATGAAAAAAAATATTTTACTCACAATTTAGAGAAAAACGATTATAAAAAACATCGTTAATTTGCTTAATTATTATTTTTTTAATTAAATTTTTTTCCCCTAGCTTGTCTCGATGAAATTAGCATGAACCATTAGAGTGGCTTTAATAATAGCATAGTTAAGTTTTGTTCTGAACTTCAAAGTGTTTTTTCAGATCTTTCGTAGTTTCATAACGTATGAATTATACGTTAAAATGAACTATAAAGAAGCATATAAATGTTTCCTGTAACTGTAAGATTTTAATTTGAATTTATTCTGAACATTTCGAAGGTTGATACGGCCATTCAAAGAATATTTAATCATTAAATAAAAATGTGAGTGCAATGTATTGATTAAATTTCATAATTATTGATAATAGAGTTATGTTCAAAAAAATCTTATAAAAACATGGCAGAATTAAGTAATTCATAATTCTCTCTAATTTTTATACTGATTCAATTAATTGAACTACTAAAATATTGATATCAAATATTGAGGGAAAAATCCTCATAAAATCCATTTTATGCGAAAAAATCAAAATTTGAATCTTACATATTTTTCAATTTCAAACCATATTTACTTAAAGTGCCTACAGACAATAAATTGAGAGTGTATTCAAAAATTAATAAAATATGCAGACTCTTTCTTCTCAAAAATGTTTATCATTACTGGATCAAAAATTTTAATATTCAAGTTTTATGATTACTATATGGATATAAAAAATAATTTTATCCTTCAAAAGCTGAATAAATTTTTTACAAGTTTACAAAAGTCAACGGCTCATTTTGACGATTCCATTCTTTACTGATAATGACTGAAGCTCAAGACAAAATAATTGAATTGGAATCAAAGTTAAAGGTAATAAAAAAGGCTATTTTACAATTTAACAAAGGAGACCAAAAAATTGGTGAAATTGATTTCAAAATTACTCAAAATCTTAAAGAAATCGCAAGTATGAAAGAAGAATTTACGAAAACATCCCATTACGTGACAAATGAAATTATGAAAATTAGGGAAGAATTTGACGTACAGAATCAATCCATTACAACCACTATTAATAATTGTATTGGAGATCATATTAAAGAACTACAAGAACAGTGCGATAAAAATAGTGATAATATCGACTCAATTGATGAAAGAGTTCTTATTTTAGAAGAAAATTATCAAACAATAATCGAACAAATGAAAACAATTGCTAATGTTACTAATATCGAACAAAATGTTACTAACGTACATAATGAAATAGTTTTAGTAGAACAACGTTTAAATGATGAAGAAGAGAAATTAAAGAATGCTCAAGAGAAATTACTTATGCTAGAAGATAATGCTAGCGCAGAATCAGAAAAGGCCAAGGAAAAAGCCGATGATCTGCAAAATCAAATTAATGACATCAAAGAAAAAGCGAATAACTATGATAATAATAATGAAAAAAATGCTAAAGATATTCAAGATCTTAATAATTTAATTAATTCGTTAAAAGATAAAATTGATCAAAATGAAGATGAAGCAAAGAAGAATCAACAAAACAATGAAGAAAGAGATAATAATAATGATAAGAATTTACAGAATCTCCAAGATAGATTTAATGACTTGGAAAATCTAATGAAGCAAGGAGATAATGACAACAAAGATCAGTCTAATAAGAATCAAGAAGATATTAAAGAGCTTACTAGCAAACTTAATGCTCTTTCCAATCAAGAAAAGGCTAATGAAGAAAAAGATACTAAACAAGATGAGGATATTAAGACTTTACAGGATCGTATTCAAGATCTTGAAGGCCAAGGACTTGTTAGATCTCGCGATCTCCAACTTAACTTCGATGATTTCGACAATAAGTTAAATGATGTCGACGCGAAGCAAGACCAAGCTATTAAAAACCTCGAAGAAAAGATCAAGGAACTTAGTGATAAAGCCGATGCTAACAACGATCGAGACAACAAACAAGATGAGAAATTCAATGCTTTGGAAGACAAAGACAACAAACAAGATGAAGCTCTTAAAGGTCTTGAAGACAAGATCAATGCTCAGGAGAGCAAAGACAACAAACAAGACGAAGATATAAATGCTCTTAAGGACCAACTTAAAGCCCTTGACGATAAATTCAAGGCAAACGAAGAAGCTAAAGCTGCTCAAGGTGCAGAAGATCTTCAGAGTGTAAATGACCGCCTCAACGCACTCAATGATAAGATCAACGAAAACAACAACAAAGACAACAAACAAGATGAAGACATCAAATCTATTGTCGACCGCCTCAACGACATGGATGAGATGAAGAAAGTAGAAGATGAACAAAGACTCGCTAAGAACAAAGTTCTTGTCGACAGCCTCAACGACAAGTTCAATGATCTTGGCAACCAAGTTCAGGAAGGTGACCAGAAGAATGAAAATGATATCAAAGCACTCAAAGAACAGCTCGATGCTCTTAATGATCGTGAGAACGCTAATGAAGACAAAGACAACAAACAGGATGAAGATCTTAATGCCCTTAAGGACCAAATTAATGCAATTAATGAAAAAGAACAAGAAAAAGATTCTAAAGACGCAGCTCGTGATAATGCTCTTAAAGAACTTCAAGACAAAAATAACAAACAAGATGAAGATCTTAATTCCCTCAAAGATCAAGTCAACTCTCTCAACGATAAAGATGCTGCCAGAGACAATGCTATCAAAGAGCTTGAAGATAAGGTAAATACCTCCAACCAAAAGAATGATGATGAGCTCAAAGCACTCAAGGTCCAAATTGATGCTAACGATTCTAACGATAACAAGCAAGATGAAGACATTAAAGCACTTCAAGACAAAGTTGCCGAGCTTGAAGAGCAAGGTGCCGTTAAGACGCGTGATCTCCAGCTCAACCTCGACGACTTTGACAACAAGTTGAACGATGTCGATGCTAAGCAAGACCAAGCTATCAAAGACCTTGGTGACAAATTAGCAGCTCTTGAAGAGAAGACTAACGCTAACGACGCCAAAGACAACAATCAAGATGAAGTTCTGAAAGGCATTGAAGCTAAGGATAACGAACAAGACGAAAACATCAATGCACTTAAGGATCAACTTCAAGCCCTTGACGACAAGATCAAAGCTAACGAAGAAGCCAAAGCCGCTCAAGGTGCCGAAGATCTTGCCGGTGTCAACGATCGTCTTGATGCCCTCAACAATCTTCTTAAGGACAAGGCTAACGACGATACCGTTAAAGCTCTTGAAGAACGACTTAACAACAACGATAACAACGATAACAAGCAAAACGAAGACATCAATGCACTTAAAGACAAGATCCAAGAGATGGAAGACAAGAAGAAAGAAGAAGACGAGCAACGTGCCGAGAAGAACCGTGCTCTTGTCCAAAACTTGAATGACAAGTTCAATGACCTTGACAACAAGATCCAAGAAGGAGATCAGAAGAACGAAGATGGCATCAAAGCACTCAAAGAACAACTTGATTCTCTGAATGATCGCCAGAACGCTAACGAAGACAAAGACAACAAACAAGATCAAGACGTTCAAAATCTTGGAGACAAAGTTCAAGCACTAGAAGACAGAGCTAATGCCAATGAAGCTAAGGATAACGAACAAGATGAAGACATCAATGCACTTAAGGATCAACTTCAAGCCCTTGACGACAAGATCAAAGCCAACGAAGAAGCCAAAGCCGCTCAAGGTGCCGAAGATCTTGCCGGTGTCAACGATCGTCTCGATGCTCTCAACAACAAGATCGACGATAACAACAACAAAGACAACAAGCAAGACGAAGACATCAATGCACTTAAAGACAAGATCCAAGAGATGGAAGACAAGAAGAAAGAAGAAGATGAACAACGTCTTGCCAAGAACAAAGTTCTTGTTGACAGTCTTAACGACCGCTTCAACGACCTTAACAATCAAGTTCAGGAAGGTGATCAGAAGAACGAGAATGATATCCAAGCACTCAAAGCACAACTCGATGCCCTTAATGATCGCCAGAACGCCAACGAAGACAAAGACAACAAGCAAGACGAAGATCTTAATGCTCTTAAGGATCAAATCAACACTCTTAACGACAAAGATCAAGACAAAGATGCCAAAGATGCTGCACGCGACAATGCTCTGAAAGAACTTGAAGACAAAGTTAATGCAAATAATGAGAAAGATAATCAACAAGACCAAGATCTTCAAACTCTTAAGAATCAACTTCAATCTTTAACCGAACAGGAACAAGCTAATCAAATTAAAGATGATGCTAGAGATTCTTCTCTTAAATATCTTGAAGACAAATTAAATGCTAATAACGATAAAGACAATCAACAAGACGAAAACATCAATGCACTTAAGGATCAACTTCAAGCCCTTGACGACAAGATCAAAGCTAACGAAGAAGCCAAAGCCGCTCAAGGTGCCGAAGATCTTGCCGGTGTCAACGATCGTCTTGATGCCCTCAACAATCTTCTTAAGGACAAGGCTAACGACGATACCGTTAAAGCTCTTGAAGAACGACTTAACAACAACGATAACAACGATAACAAGCAAAACGAAGACATCAATGCACTTAAAGACAAGATCCAAGAGATGGAAGACAAGAAGAAAGAAGAAGACGAGCAACGTGCCGAGAAGAACCGTGCTCTTGTCCAAAACTTGAATGACAAGTTCAATGACCTTGACAACAAGATCCAAGAAGGAGATCAGAAGAACGAAGATGGCATCAAAGCACTTAAGGAACAACTCGATGCCCTTAATGATCGCCAGAACGCCAACGAAGACAAAGACAACAAGCAAGACGAAGATCTTAATGCTCTTAAGGATCAAATCAACACTCTTAACGACAAAGATCAAGACAAAGATGCCAAAGATGCTGCACGCGACAATGCTCTGAAAGAACTTGAAGACAAAGTTAATGCAAATAATGAGAAAGATAATCAACAAGACCAAGATCTTCAAACTCTTAAAGACAATGATTCTTTCCAAAATCAAGCCCTCAAAGATCTTCAAGATAAACTTCAAGAACTTAAAGATCAACTTAAAGACACCGAAGAAGCCAAAGCTGCTCAAGGTGCAGAAGATCTTGCTGGTGTTAATGATCGCATCAATGCTATCAACAATCTTCTTGAAGATAAAGTTGATGAAGATGCTATTAAAGCACTCGAAGAGAGATTGAATCATAATGATAATAATGACAACAAACAAGACGAAGACATCAATGCACTTAAAGACAAGATCCAAGAGATGGAAGACAAGAAGAAAGAAGAAGATGAACAACGTCTTGCCAAGAACAAAGTTCTTGTTGACAATCTTAATGACAAGTTCAACGATCTCGGCAATCTCATCCAAGAAGGCGATAAAAAGAACGAGGACGATCTTAAAGCACTTAAGGAACAACTTGATGCCCTTAATGATCGCCAAAACAACAACGAAGACAAAGACAACAAACAAGACGATGATCTTGTTAATCACGATCAAAGAATCAACGAACTCAAAGATCGTCTTGATCAAATGAATCAAAAGTTCAATGATCTTCAGGATAAATATGATGAACTTGAAAAAGTAGTTCATCCAGAAGAAGAGGCAATTGGAGAAATACAGGCAAGGGATATTCAATTAGAATGTGCTGTGCCTGATGAAGATCCAGGACCTACGTTACAAGATCTCAATGAGAAAATTGAGCAAATTGAAAAAGAAAATGCTTCACTTAAAGATGATTTAAGCAATATTTTGCAAAGATTAGCAGAAAATGAAAAATTAGATGAAACCCAAAATGCTGATATTGAGGAGTTGAAGAAATTGATAAATAAATTAGATAATGACATTTTAGAAAAAGAAGCAGCGAACGCAGATAAATGGGCTCAATTAAATGATGATCTAAATAAAAAGTTACAAGAATTAGAGAATGTGGTGAAAGAAACATCCGATGTCGATGCTCTCAAGGCCCTCGAAGACAGGTTGAACAACAACGACAACAAGGACAACAAGCAAGATGAGGATCTCAAGGCACTCGCCGACAAGATCCAAGAGATGGAAGACAGAAAGAAGGAGGAAGACGAGCAGCGTGCTGCCAAGAACAAGGCACTTGTCCAGAACTTGAACGACAAGTTCAACGATCTCGACAACAAGATCCAAGACGGCGACGACAAGAACGAGAAAGACCTCAAGGCACTCAAGGAGCAACTCGATGCTCTCAACGATCGCCAGAACGCCAACGAGGACAAGGACAACAAGCAAGATGACGATCTCAACGAGCTCAAGGACAAGTTGAACTCTCTTGATGACAAGATCAAGGCTGTCGATGAGGCTAATGCAGCCCAAGGCGCCGAAGACCTCAAGAACGTCAACGATGCTCTTAAGGCTCTCGAAGACAAGGTCAAGGAGCTTAACGACAAGGCCGACAACACAGACAACCGCGACAACAAGCAAGACGAGTACATCATGGATCTTGCAGACAAGGTCAAGGGTCTCCAAGACAAGGATGCCGCTCAGGACGAGAAGGACAAGAACCTTGAAGGCGCCATCCAAGAACTCAAGGACAAGGATGCCGCTCAGGACGAGAAGGACAAGAACCTTGAAGGCGCCATCCAAGAACTCAAGGACAAGGATGCCGCTCAGGACGAGAAGGACAAGAACCTTGAAGGCGCCATCCAAGAACTCAAGGACAAGGATGCCGCTCAGGACGAGAAGGACAAGAACCTTGAAGGCGCCATCCAAGAACTCAAGGACAAGGATGCCGCTCAGGACGAGAAGGACAAGGCCAACGAAGAAGCAATCAAGTCCCTCGCCGACAGACTCCAGGATCTCAAGGACACGATCAGAGACGCCGAGGAAGCCAAGGCTACCCAAGGTGCCGAAGATCTCCAGGGTGTCAACGACGCTCTCAATGCTCTCAACAACCTCATCAAGGAGAAGGCCGACGACGATGCTCTCAAGGCCCTCGAAGACAGGTTGAACAACAACGACAACAAGGACAACAAGCAAGATGAGGATCTCAACGAGCTCAAGGACAAGTTGAACTCTCTTGATGACAAGATCAAGGCTGTCGATGAGGCTAATGCAGCCCAAGGCGCCGAAGACCTCAAGAACGTCAACGATGCTCTTAAGGCTCTCGAAGACAAGGTCAAGGAGCTTAACGACAAGGCCGACAACACAGACAACCGCGACAACAAGCAAGACGAGTACATCATGGATCTTGCAGACAAGGTCAAGGGTCTCCAAGACAAGGATGCCGCTCAGGACGAGAAGGACAAGAACCTTGAAGGCGCCATCCAAGAACTCAAGGACAAGGATGCCGCTCAGGACGAGAAGGACAAGGCCAACGAAGAAGCAATCAAGTCCCTCGCCGACAGACTCCAGGATCTCAAGGACACGATCAGAGACGCCGAGGAAGCCAAGGCTACCCAAGGTGCCGAAGATCTCCAGGGTGTCAACGACGCTCTCAATGCTCTCAACAACCTCATCAAGGAGAAGGCCGACGACGATGCTCTCAAGGCCCTCGAAGACAGGTTGAACAACAACGACAACAAGGACAACAAGCAAGATGAGGATCTCAAGGCACTCGCCGACAAGATCCAAGAGATGGAAGACAGAAAGAAGGAGGAAGACGAGCAGCGTGCTGCCAAGAACAAGGCACTTGTCCAGAACTTGAACGACAAGTTCAACGATCTCGACAACAAGATCCAAGACGGCGACGACAAGAACGAGAAAGACCTCAAGGCACTCAAGGAGCAACTCGATGCTCTCAACGATCGCCAGAACGCCAACGAGGACAAGGACAACAAGCAAGATGACGATCTCAACGAGCTCAAGGACAAGTTGAACTCTCTTGATGACAAGATCAAGGCTGTCGATGAGGCTAATGCAGCCCAAGGCGCCGAAGACCTCAAGAACGTCAACGATGCTCTTAAGGCTCTCGAAGACAAGGTCAAGGAGCTTAACGACAAGGCCGACAACACAGACAACCGCGACAACAAGCAAGACGAGTACATCATGGATCTTGCAGACAAGGTCAAGGGTCTCCAAGACAAGGATGCCGCTCAGGACGAGAAGGACAAGAACCTTGAAGGCGCCATCCAAGAACTCAAGGACAAGGATGCCGCTCAGGACGAGAAGGACAAGGCCAACGAAGAAGCAATCAAGTCCCTCGCCGACAGACTCCAGGATCTCAAGGACAAGATCAGAGACGCCGAGGAAGCCAAGGCTACCCAAGGTGCCGAAGATCTCCAGGGTGTCAACGACGCTCTCAATGCTCTCAACAACCTCATCAAGGAGAAGGCCGACGACGATGCTCTCAAGGCCCTCGAAGACAGGTTGAACCGCAACGACAACAAGGACAACAAGCAAGATGAGGATCTCAAGGCACTCGCCGACAAGATCCAAGAGATGGAAGACAGAAAGAAGGAGGAAGACGAGCAGCGTGCTGCCAAGAACAAGGCACTTGTCCAGAACTTGAACGACAAGTTCAACGATCTCGACAACAAGATCCAAGACGGCGACGACAAGAACGAGAAAGACCTCAAGGCACTCAAGGAGCAACTCGATGCTCTCAACGATCGCCAGAACGCCAACGAGGACAAGGACAACAAGCAAGATGACGATCTCAACGAGCTCAAGGACAAGTTGAACTCTCTTGATGACAAGATCAAGGCTGTCGATGAGGCTAATGCAGCCCAAGGCGCCGAAGACCTCAAGAACGTCAACGATGCTCTTAAGGCTCTCGAAGACAAGGTCAAGGAGCTTAACGACAAGGCCGACAACACAGACAACCGCGACAACAAGCAAGACGAGTACATCATGGATCTTGCAGACAAGGTCAAGGGTCTCCAAGACAAGGATGCCGCTCAGGACGAGAAGGACAAGAACCTTGAAGACGCCATCCAAGAACTCAAGGACAAGGATGCCGCTCAGGACGAGAAGGACAAGAACCTTGAAGGCGCCATCCAAGAACTCAAGGACAAGGATGCCGCTCAGGACGAGAAGGACAAGGCCAACGAAGAAGCAATCAAGTCCCTCCGACAGACTCCAGGATCTCAAGGACACGATCAGAGACGCCGAGGAAGCCAAGGCTACCCAAGGTGCCGAAGATCTCCAGGGTGTCAACGACGCTCTCAATGCTCTCAACAACCTCATCAAGGAGAAGGCCGACGACGATGCTCTCAAGGCCCTCGAAGACAGGTTGAACAACAACGACAACAAGGACAACAAGCAAGATGAGGATCTCAACGAGCTCAAGGACAAGTTGAACTCTCTTGATGACAAGATCAAGGCTGTCGATGAGGCTAATGCAGCCCAAGGCGCCGAAGACCTCAAGAACGTCAACGATGCTCTTAAGGCTCTCGAAGACAAGGTCAAGGAGCTTAACGACAAGGCCGACAACACAGACAACCGCGACAACAAGCAAGACGAGTACATCATGGATCTTGCAGACAAGGTCAAGGGTCTCCAAGACAAGGATGCCGCTCAGGACGAGAAGGACAAGAACCTTGAAGGCGCCATCCAAGAACTCAAGGACAAGGATGCCGCTCAGGACGAGAAGGACAAGGCCAACGAAGAAGCAATCAAGTCCCTCGCCGACAGACTCCAGGATCTCAAGGACAAGATCAGAGACGCCGAGGAAGCCAAGGCTACCCAAGGTGCCGAAGATCTCCAGGGTGTCAACGACGCTCTCAATGCTCTCAACAACCTCATCAAGGAGAAGGCCGACGACGATGCTCTCAAGGCCCTCGAAGACAGGTTGAACCGCAACGACAACAAGGACAACAAGCAAGATGAGGATCTCAAGGCACTCGCCGACAAGATCCAAGAGATGGAAGACAGAAAGAAGGAGGAAGACGAGCAGCGTGCTGCCAAGAACAAGGCACTTGTCCAGAACTTGAACGACAAGTTCAACGATCTCGACAACAAGATCCAAGACGGCGACGACAAGAACGAGAAAGACCTCAAGGCACTCAAGGAGCAACTCGATGCTCTCAACGATCGCCAGAACGCCAACGAGGACAAGGACAACAAGCAAGATGACGATCTCAACGAGCTCAAGGACAAGTTGAACTCTCTTGATGACAAGATCAAGGCTGTCGATGAGGCTAATGCAGCCCAAGGCGCCGAAGACCTCAAGAACGTCAACGATGCTCTTAAGGCTCTCGAAGACAAGGTCAAGGAGCTTAACGACAAGGCCGACAACACAGACAACCGCGACAACAAGCAAGACGAGTACATCATGGATCTTGCAGACAAGGTCAAGGGTCTCCAAGACAAGGATGCCGCTCAGGACGAGAAGGACAAGAACCTTGAAGGCGCCATCCAAGAACTCAAGGACAAGGATGCCGCTCAGGACGAGAAGGACAAGAACCTTGAAGGCGCCATCCAAGAACTCAAGGACAAGGATGCCGCTCAGGACGAGAAGGACAAGAACCTTGAAGGCGCCATCCAAGAACTCAAGGACAAGGATGCCGCTCAGGACGAGAAGGACAAGGCCAACGAAGAAGCAATCAAGTCCCTCGCCGACAGACTCCAGGATCTCAAGGACAAGATCAGAGACGCCGAGGAAGCCAAGGCTACCCAAGGTGCCGAAGATCTCCAGGGTGTCAACGACGCTCTCAATGCTCTCAACAACCTCATCAAGGAGAAGGCCGACGACGATGCTCTCAAGGCCCTCGAAGACAGGTTGAACAACAACGACAACAAGGACAACAAGCAAGATGAGGATCTCAAGGCACTCGCCGACAAGATCCAAGAGATGGAAGACAGAAAGAAGGAGGAAGACGAGCAGCGTGCTGCCAAGAACAAGGCACTTGTCCAGAACTTGAACGACAAGTTCAACGATCTCGACAACAAGATCCAAGACGGCGACGACAAGAACGAGAAAGACCTCAAGGCACTCAAGGAGCAACTCGATGCTCTCAACGATCGCCAGAACGCCAACGAGGACAAGGACAACAAGCAAGATGACGATCTCAACGAGCTCAAGGACAAGTTGAACGAGTATCAAGCCCTTCAAGACAAGCTTAACGAATTGCAAGACAAGATCAATGAATTGCAAAATGAGATGCATCCAGAAGAAGAGGGTGTTGGTGAAGTCCAAGCACGTGACATCGACCTTGTCGCTGCCACACCAGAAGATGAGAATGCTCCAACACTTTCTGAGTTGAACGATGCTCTCAAGGAACTTCAAGAGAAGCTCAACGATCTTGCAGCTAAGGCTGAAGATAACGATAACAAAGATAACAAGCAAGATGAAGACCTTAAGAAACGTTAACGATGCTCTTCAAGCATTAGAAGATAAGGTCAAGGGTCTCCAAGACAAGGATACCGCTCAGGACGAGAAGGACAAGAACCTTGAAGACGCCATCCAAGAACTCAAGACAAGGATGCCGCTCAGGACGAGAAGGACAAGAACCTTGAAGGCGCCATCCAAGAACTCAAGGACAAGAGATGCCGCTCAGGACGAGAAGGACAAGGCCAACGAAGAAGCAATCAAGTCCTCGCCGACAGACTCCAGGATCTCAAGGACAAGATCAGAGACGCCGAGGAAGCCAAGGCTACCCAAGGTGCCGAAGATCTCCAGGGTGTCAACGACGCTCTCAATGCTCTCACAACCTCATCAAGGAGAAGGCGACGACGATGCTCTCAAGGCCCTCGAAGACAGGTTGAACAACAACGACAACAAGGACAACAAGCAAGATGAGGATCTCAAGGCACTCGCCGACAAGATCCAAGAGATGGAAGACAGAAAGAAGGAGGAAGACGAGCAGCGTGCTGCCAAGAACAAGGCACTTGTCCAGAACTTGAACGACAAGTTCAACGATCTCGACAACAAGATCCAAGACGGCGACGACAAGAACGAGAAAGACCTCAGGCACTCAAGGAGCAACTCGATGCTCTCAACGATCGCCAGAACGCCAACGAGGACAAGGACAACAAGCAAGATGACGATCTCAACGAGCTCAAGGACAAGTTGAACTCTCTTGATGACAAGATCAAGGCTGTCGATGAGGCTAATGCAGCCCAAGGCGCCGAAGACCTCAAGAACGTCAACGATGCTCTTAAGGCTCTCGAAGACAAGGTCAAGGAGCTTAACGACAAGGCCGACAACACAGACAACCGCGACAACAAGCAAGACGAGTACATCAATATGGATCTTGCAGACAAGGTCAAGGGTCTCCAAGACAAGGATGCCGCTCAGGACGAGAAGGACAAGAACTTGAAGGCGCCATCCAAGAACTCAGAGACAAGGATGCCGCTCAGGACGAGAAGGACAAGAACCTTGAAAGACGCCATCCAAGAACTCAAGGACAAGGATGCCGCTCAGGACGAGAAGGACAAGAACCTTGAAGACGCCATCCAAGAACTCAAGGACAAGGATGCCGCTCAGGACGAGAAGGACAAGAACCTTGAAGACGCCATCCAAGAACTCAAGGACAAGGATGCCGCTCAGGACGAGAAGGACAAGAACCTTGAAGGCGCCATCCAAGAACTCAAGGACAAGGATGCCGCTCAGGACGAAGGACAAGAACCTGAAGACGCCATCCAAGAACTCAAGGACAAGGATGCCGCTCAGGACGAGAAGGACAAGAACCTTGAAGGCGCCATCCAAAACTCAAGGACAAGGATGCCGCTCAGGACGAGAAGGACAAGAACCTTGAAGGCGCCATCCAAGAACTCAAGGACAAGGATGCCGCTCAGGACGAGAAGGACAAGAACCTTGAAGGCGCCATCCAAGAACTTCAAGGACAAGGATGCGCTAGGACGAGAAGGACAAGAACCTTGAAGGCGCCATCCAAGAACTCAAGGACAAGGATGCCGCTCAGGACGAGAAGGACAAGAACCTTGAAGGCGCCATCCAAGAACTCAAGGACAAGGATGCCGCTCAGGACGAGAAGGACAAGAACCTTGAAGGCGCCATCAAGAACTCAAGGACAAGGATGCCGTCAGGACGAGAAGGACAAGGCCAACGAGAAGCAATCAAGTCCCTCGCCGACAGACTCCAGGATCTCAAGGACAAGATCAGAGACGCCGAGAAGCCAAGGCTACCCAAGGTGCCGAAGATCTCCAGGGTGTCAACGACGCTCTCAATGCTCTCAACAACCTCATCAAGGAGAAGGCCGACGACGATGCTCTCAAGGCCCTCGAAGACAGGTTGAACAACAACGACAACAAGGACAACAAGCAAGATGAGGATCTCAAGGCACTCGCCGGACAAGATCCAAGAGATGGAAGACAGAAAGAAGGAGGAAGACGAGCAGCGTGCTGCCAAGAACAAGGCACTTGTCCAGAACTTGAACGACAAGTTCAACGATCTCGACAACAAGATCCAAGACGGCGACGACAAGAACGAGAAAGACCTCAAGGCACTCAAGGAGCAACTCGATGCTCTCAACGATCGCCAGAACGCCAACGAGGACAAGGACAACAAGCAAGATGACGATCTCAACGAGCTCAAGGACAAGTTGAACGAGTATCAAGCCCTTCAAGACAAGCTTAACGAATTGCAAGACAAGATCAATGAATTGCAAAATGAGATGCATCCAGAAGAAGAGGTGTTGGTGAAGTCCAAGCACGTGACATCGACCTTGTCGCTGCCACACCAGAAGATGAGAATGCTCCAACACTTTCTGAGTTTGAACGATGCTCTCAAGGAACTTCAAGAGAAGCTCAACGATCTTGCAGCTAAGGCTGAAGATAACGATAACAAAGATAACAAGCAAGATGAAGACCTTAAGAACGTTAACGATGCTCTTCAAGCATTAGAGAAGATAAGGTCAAGGGTCTCAAGACAAGGATACCGCTCAGGACGAGAAGGACAAGAACCTTGAAGACGCCATCCAAGAACTCAAGGACAAGGATGCGCTCAGGACGAGAAGGACAAGAACCTTGAAGGCGCCATCCAAGAACTCAAGGACAAGGATGCCGCTCAGGACGGAGGACAAGGCCAACGAAGAAGCAATCAAGTCCCTCGCCGACAGACTCCAGGATCTCAAGGACAAGATCAGAGACGCCGAGGAAGCCAAGGCTACCCAAGGTGCCGAGATCTCCAGGGTGTCAACGACGCTCTCAATGCTCTCAACAACCTCATCAAGGAGAAGGCCGACGACGATGCTCTCAAGGCCCTCGAAGACAGGTTGAACAACAACGACAACAAGGACAACAAGCAAGATGAGGATCTCAAGGCACTCGCCGACAAGATCCAAGAGATGGAAGACAGAAAGAAGGAGGAAGACGAGCAGCGTGCTGCCAAGAACAAGGCACTTGTCCAGAACTTGAACGACAAGTTCAACGATCTCGACAACAAGATCCAAGACGGCGACGACAAGAACGAGAAAGACCTCAAGGCACTCAAGGAGCAACTCGATGCTCTCAACGATCGCCAGAACGCCAACGAGGACAAGGACAACAAGCAAGATGACGATCTCAACGAGCTCAAGGACAAGTTGAACTCTCTTGATGACAAGATCAAGGCTGTCGATGAGGCTAATGCAGCCCAAGGCGCCGAAGACCTCAAGAACGTCAACGATGCTCTTAAGGCTCTCGAAGACAAGGTCAAGGAGCTTAACGACAAGGCCGACAACACAGACAACCGCGACAACAAGCAAGACGAGTACATCATGGATCTTGCAGACAAGGTCAAGGGTCTCCAAGACAAGGATGCGCTCAGGACGAGAAGGACAAGAACCTTGAAGGCGCCATCAAGAACTCAAGGACAAGGATGCCGCTCAGGACGAGAAGGACAAGAACCTTGAAGGCGCCATCCAAGAACTCAAGGACAAGGATGCCGCTCAGGACGAGAAGGACAAGAACCTTGAAGGCGCCATCCAAGAACTCAAGGACAAGGATGCCGCTCAGGACGAGAAGGACAAGGCCAACGAAGAAGCAATCAAGTCCCTCGCCGACAGACTCCAGGATCTCAAGGACAAGATCAGAGACGCCGAGGAAGCCAAGGCTACCCAAGGTGCCGAAGATCTCCAGGGTGTCAACGACGCTCTCAATGCTCTCAACAACCTCATCAAGGAGAAGGCCGACGACGATGCTTCAAGGCCCTCGAAGACAGGTTGAACCGCAACGACAACAAGGACAACAAGCAAGATGAGGATTCAAGGCACTCGCCGACAAGATCCAAGAGATGGAAGACAGAAAGAAGGAGGAAGACGAGCAGCGTGCTGCCAAGAACAAGGCACTTGTCCAGAACTTGAACGACAAGTTCAACGATCTCGACAACAAGATCCAAGACGGCGACGACAAGAACGAGAAAGACCTCAAGGCACTCAAGGAGCAACTCGATGCTCTCAACGATCGCCAGAACGCCAACGAGGACAAGGACAACAAGCAAGATGACGATCTCAACGAGCTCAAGGACAAGTTGAACTCTCTTGATGACAAGATCAAGGCTGTCGATGAGGCTAATGCAGCCCAAGGCGCCGAAGACCTCAAGAACGTCAACGATGCTCTTAAGGGCTCTCGAAGACAAGGTCAAGGAGCTTAACGACAAGGCCGACAACACAGACAACCGCGACAACAAGCAAGACGAGTACATCATGGATCTTTGCAGACAAGGTCAAGGGTCTCCAAGACAAGGATGCCGCTCAGGACGAGAAGGACAAGAACCTTGAAGGCGCCATCCAAGAACTCAAGGACAAGGATGCCGCTCAGGACGAGAAGGACAAGAACCTTGAAGGCGCCATCCAAGAACTCAAGGACAAGGATGCCGCTCAGGACGAGAAGGACAAGAACCTTGAAGGCGCCATCCAAGAACTCAAGGACAAGGATGCCGCTCAGGACGAGAAGGACAAGAACCTTGAAGGCGCCATCCAAGAACTCAAGGACAAGGATGCCGCTCAGGACGAGAAGGACAAGGCCAACGAAGAAGCAATCAAGTCCCTCGCCGACAGACTCCAGGATCTCAAGGACAAGATCAGAGACGCCGAGGAAGCCAAGGCTACCCAAGGTGCCGAAGATCTCCAGGGTGTCAACGACGCTCTCAATGCTCTCAACAACCTCATCAAGGAGAAGGCCGACGACGATGCTCTCAAGGCCCTCGAAGACAGGTTGAACCGCAACGACAACAAGGACAACAAGCAAGATGAGGATCTCAAGGCACTCGCCGACAAGATCCAAGAGATGGAAGACAGAAAGAAGGAGGAAGACGAGCAGCGTGCTGCCAAGAACAAGGCACTTGTCCAGAACTTGAACGACAAGTTCAACGATCTCGACAACAAGATCCAAGACGGCGACGACAAGAACGAGAAAGACCTCAAGGCACTCAAGGAGCAACTCGATGCTCTCAACGATCGCCAGAACGCCAACGAGGACAAGGACAACAAGCAAGATGACGATCTCAACGAGCTCAAGGACAAGTTGAACGAGTATCAAGCCCTTCAAGACAAGCTTAACGAATTGCAAGACAAGATCAATGAATTGCAAAATGAGATGCATCCAGAAGAAGAGGGTGTTGGTGAAGTCCAAGCACGTGACATCGACCTTGTCGCTGCCACCAGAAGATGAGAATGCTCCAACACTTTCTGAGTTGAACGATGCTCTCAAGGAACTTCAAGAGAAGCTCAACGATCTTGCAGCTAAGGCTGAAGATAACGATAACAAAGATAACAAGCAAGATGAAGACCTTAAGAACGTTAACGATGCTCTTCAAGCATTAGAAGATAAGGTCAAGGGTCTCCAAGACAAGGATACCGCTCAGGACGAGAAGGACAAGAACCTTGAAGACGCCATCCAAGAACTCAAGGACAAGGATGCCGCTCAGGACGAGAAGGACAAGAACCTTGAAGGCGCCATCCAAGAACTCAAGGACAAGGATGCCGCTCAGGACGAGAAGGACAAGGCCAACGAAGAAGCAATCAAGTCCCTCGCCGACAGACTCCAGGATCTCAAGGACAAGATCAGAGACGCCGAGGAAGCCAAGGCTACCCAAGGTGCCGAAGATCTCCAGGGTGTCAACGACGCTCTCAATGCTCTCAACAACCTCATCAAGGAGAAGGCCGACGACGATGCTCTCAAGGCCTCGAAGACAGGTTGAACAACAACGACAACAAGGACAACAAGCAAGATGAGGATCTCAAGGCACTCGCCGACAAGATCCAAGAGATGGAAGACAGAAAGAAGGAGGAAGACGAGCAGCGTGCTGCCAAGAACAAGGCACTTGTCCAGAACTTGAACGACAAGTTCAACGATCTCGACAACAAGATCCAAGACGGCGACGACAAGAACGAGAAAGACCTCAAGGCACTCAAGGAGCAACTCGATGCTCTCAACGATCGCCAGAACGCCAACGAGGACAAGGACAACAAGCAAGATGACGATCTCAACGAGCTCAAGGACAAGTTGAACTCTCTTGATGACAAGATCAAGGCTGTCGATGAGGCTAATGCAGCCCAAGGCGCCGAAGACCTCAAGAACGTCAACGATGCTCTTAAGGCTCTCGAAGACAAGGTCAAGGAGCTTAACGACAAGGCCGACAACACAGACAACCGCGACAACAAGCAAGACGAGTACATCATGGATCTTGCAGACAAGGTCAAGGGTCTCAAGACAAGGATGCCGCTCAGGACGAGAAGGACAAGAACCTTGAAGGCGCCATCCAAGAACTCAAGGACAAGGATGCCGCTCAGGACGAGAAGGACAAGAACCTTGAAGGCGCCATCCAAGAACTCAAGGACAAGGATGCCGCTCAGGACGAGAAGGACAAGAACCTTGAAGCGCCATCCAAGAACTCAAGGACAAGGATGCCGCTCAGGACGAAGAAGGACAAGACCTTGAAGGCGCCATCCAAGAACTCAAGGACAAGGATGCCGCTCAGGACGAGAAGGACAAGGCACAACGAAGCAAAATCAAGTCCCTCGCCGACAGACTCCAGGATCTCAAGGACAAGATCAGAGACGCCGAGGAAGCCAAGGCTACCCAAGGTGCCGAAGATTCCAGGGTGTCAACGACGCTCTCAATGCTCTCAACAACCTCATCAAGGAGAAGGCCGACGACGATGCTCTCAAGGCCCTCGAAGACAGGTTGAACAACAACGACAACAGGACAACAAGCAAGATTGAGGATCTCAAGGCACTCGCCGACAAGATCCAAGAGATGGAAGACAGAAAGAAGGAGGAAGACGAGCAGCGTGCTGCCAAGAACAAGGCACTTGTCCAGAACTTGAACGACAAGTTCAACGATCTCGACAACAAGATCCAAGACGGCGACGACAAGAACGAGAAAGACCTCAAGGCACTCAAGGAGCAACTCGATGCTCTCAAACGATCGCCAGAACGCCAACGAGGACAAGGACAACAAGCAAGATGACGATCTCAACGAGCTCAAGGACAAGTTGAACGAGTATCAAGCCCTTCAAGACAAGCTTAACGAATTGCAAGACAAGATCAATGAATTGCAAAATGAGATGCATCCAGAAGAAGAGGGTGTTGGTGAAGTCCAAGCACGTGACATCGACCTTGTCGCTGCCACACCAGAAGATGAGAATGCTCCAACACTTCTGAGTGTAACGATGCTCTCAAGGAACTTCAAGAGAAGCTCAACGATCTTGCAGCTAAGGCTGAAGATAACGATAACAAAGATAACAAGCAAGATGAAGACCTTAAGAACGTTAACGATGCTCTTCAAGCATTAGAAGATAGGTCAAGGGTCTCCAAGACAAGGATACCGCTCAGGACGAGAAGGACAAGAACCTTGAAGACGCCATCCAAGAACTCAAGGACAAGGATGCCGCTCAGGACGAGAAGGACAAGAACCTTGAAGGCGCCATCCAAGAACTCAAGGACAAGGAGATGCCGCTCAGGACGAGAAGGACAAGGCCAACGAAGAAGCAATCAAGTCCTCGCCGACAGACTCCAGGATCTCAAGGACAAGATCAGAGACGCCGAGGAAGCCAAGGCTACCCAAGGTGCCGAAGATCTCCAGGGTGTCAACGACGCTCTCAATGCTCTCAACAACCTCATCAAGGAGAAGGCCGACGACGATGCTCTCAAGGCCCTCGAAGACAGGTTGAACAACAACGACAACAAGGACAACAAGCAAGATGAGGATCTCAAGGCACTCGCCGACAAGATCCAAGAGATGGAAGACAGAAAAAGGAGGAAGAGAGCAGCGTGCTGCCAAGAACAAGGCACTTGTCCAGAACTTGAACGACAAGTTCAACGATCTCGACAACAAGATCCAAGACGGCGACGACAAGAACGAGAAAGACCTCAAGGCACTCAAAGCAACTCGATGCTCTCAACGATCGCCAGAACGCCAACGAGGACAAGGACAACAAGCAAGATGACGATCTCAACGAGCTCAAGGACAAGTTGAACTCTCTTGATGACAAGATCAAGGCTGTCGATGAGGCTAATGCAGCCCAAGGCGCCGAAGACCTCAAGAACGTCAACGATGCTCTTAAGGCTCTCGAAGACAAGGTCAAGGAGCTTAACGACAAGGCCGACAACACAGACAACCGCGACAACAAGCAAGACGAGTACATCATGGATCTTGCAGACAAGGTCAAGGGTCTCCAAGACAAGGATGCCGCTCAGGACGAGAAGGACAAGAACCTTGAAGGCGCCATCCAAGAACTCAAGGACAAGGATGCCGCTCAGGACGAGAAGGACAAGAACCTTGAAGACGCCATCCAAGAACTCAAGGACAAGGATGCCGCTCAGGACGAGAAGGACAAGAACCTTGAAGACGCCATCCAAGAACTCAAGGACAAAGGATGCCGCTCAGGACGAGAAGGACAAGAACCTTGAAGACGCCATCCAAGAACTCAAGGACAAGGATGCCGCTCAGGACGAGAAGGACAAGAACCTTGAAGGCGCCATCCAAGAACTCAAGGACAAGGATGCCGCTCAGGACGAGAAGGACAAGAACCTTGAAGACGCCATCCAAGAACTCAAGGACAAGGATGCCGCTCAGGACGAGAAGGACAAGAACCTTGAAGGCGCCATCCAAGAACTCAAGGACAAGGATGCCGCTCAGGACGAGAAGGACAAGAACCTTGAAGGCGCCATCCAAGAACTCAAGGACAAGGATGCCGCTCAGGACGAGAAGGACAAGAACCTTGAAGGCGCCATCCAAGAACTCAAGGACAAGGATGCCGCTCAGGACGAGAAGGACAAGAACCTTGAAGGCGCCATCCAAGAACTCAAGGACAAGGATGCCGCTCAGGACGAGAAGGACAAGAACCTTGAAGGCGCCATCCAAGAACTCAAGGACAAGGATGCCGCTCAGGACGAGAAGGACAAGAACCTTGAAGGCGCCATCCAAGAACTCAAGGACAAGGATGCCGCTCAGGACGAGAAGGACAAGGCCAACGAAGAAGCAATCAAGTCCCTCGCCGACAGACTCCAGGATCTCAAGGACAAGATCAGAGACGCCGAGGAAGCCAAGGCTACCCAAGGTGCCGAAGATCTCCAGGGTGTCAACGACGCTCTCAATGCTCTCAACAACCTCATCAAGGAGAAGGCCGACGACGATGCTCTCAAGGCCCTCGAAGACAGGTTGAACAACAACGACAACAAGGACAACAAGCAAGATGAGGATCTCAAGGCACTCGCCGACAAGATCCAAGAGATGGAAGACAGAAAGAAGGAGGAAGACGAGCAGCGTGCTGCCAAGAACAAGGCACTTGTCCAGAACTTGAACGACAAGTTCAACGATCTCGACAACAAGATCCAAGACGGCGACGACAAGAACGAGAAAGACCTCAAGGCACTCAAGGAGCAACTCGATGCTCTCAACGATCGCCAGAACGCCAACGAGGACAAGGACAACAAGCAAGATGACGATCTCAACGAGCTCAAGGACAAGTTGAACGAGTATCAAGCCTTCAAGACAAGCTTAACGAATTGCAAGACAAGATCAATGAATTGCAAAATGAGATGCATCCAGAAGAAGAGGGTGTTGGTGAAGTCCAAGCACGTGACATCGACCTTGTCGCTGCCACACCAGAAGATGAGAATGCTCCAACACTTTCTGAGTTTGAACGATGCTCTCAAGGAACTTCAAGAGAAGCTCAACGATCTTGCAGCTAAGGCTGAAGATAACGATAACAAAGATAACAAGCAAGATGAAGACCTTAAGAACGTTAACGATGCTCTTCAAGCATTAGAAGATAAGGTCAAGGGTCTCCAAGACAAGGATACCGCTCAGGACGAGAAGGACAAGAACCTTGAAGACGCCATCCAAGAACTCAAGGACAAGGATGCCGCTCAGGACGAGAAGGACAAGAACCTTGAAGGCGCCATCCAAGAACTCAAGGACAAGGATGCCGCTCAGGACGAGAAGGACAAGGCCAACGAAGAAGCAATCAAGTCCCTCGCCGACAGACTCCAGGATCTCAAGGACAAGATCAGAGACGCCGAGGAAGCCAAGGCTACCCAAGGTGCCGAAGATCTCCAGGGTGTCAACGACGCTCTCAATGCTCTCAACAACCTCATCAAGGAGAAGGCCGACGACGATGCTCTCAAGGCCCTCGAAGACAGGTTGAAAACAACGACAACAAGGACAACAGCAAGATGAGGATCTCAAGGCACTCGCCGACAAGATCCAAGAGATGGAAGACAGAAAGAAGGAGGAAGACGAGCAGCGTGCTGCCAAGAACAAGGCACTTGTCCAGAACTTGAACGACAAGTTCAACGATCTCGACAACAAGATCCAAGACGGCGACGACAAGAACGAGAAAGACCTCAAGGCACTCAAGGAGCAACTCGATGCTCTCAACGATCGCCAGAACGCCAACGAGGACAAGGACAACAAGCAAGATGACGATCTCAACGAGCTCAAGGACAAGTTGAACTCTCTTGATGACAAGATCAAGGCTGTCGATGAGGCTAATGCAGCCCAAGGCGCCGAAGACCTCAAGAACGTCAACGATGCTCTTAAGGCTCTCGAAGACAAGGTCAAGGAGCTTAACGACAAGGCCGACAACACAGAAACACGCGACAACAAGCAAGACGAGTACATCATGGATCTTGCAGACAAGGTCAAGGGTCTCCAAGACAAGGATGCCGCTCAGGACGAGAAGGACAAGAACCT